AGTCTGGCCCCTTGGCTTCTTACTTGGTGTGTTGGCTCCTAAAACTCTGCTGCAAGGATTGAGAATTCCCAGGAAGCAGTGGGTCAGGTACTGTGTTCAGAACCTCGTCCCCAGGGTGGTGATGGTGATCAGCTCCATCTCCTTAGTGATGCAACTCCCTGAGGAACTCTTTGGCGGGAGTTGGTTACAATGGGTACATTATTTTCCTGTCAGTAATCACAGCCCTCTCTCTGCATGCTGGGAAAAGTAGCATTTCTCATGCTGTACATACGCACAGCTCTTCACCAGGGAGGAGAAAATCATCCAGAGGGACCACTGGTACGAAATGTAGGTGTGTCCTCAGCTGCTGTGTGTCAGTCTTGCACAATTTCCCTGACAAAAATGGATTTTCAGGGTTCAGATCCTAACCCTAAAATTTCCATGTCTTAAAATGCTCTTGTTTAAGGGCAGAGTGAACTTTTATTGTCTTTTGTTTGCTTATTTGAAAGGAAAGTGTGTGGCTGGCTTTGATAGTTCTGTTTTCAAGCTGGAGAAGAAGAAAGTAAAATACAAAGATGGAGCTCCTGCTTAGCTTTGCCCTGGTTATTTGCACTGCCACGGTCAAACCCGGGCTGTGTTTTCCCTATTGATTCCTCATGGGTTTTATTCATGGGTTGCTGAAGCTGTGACTGAGTTGCTCTGACACTGCAATCTGTGGGTCAGGCAGATGCAGAACCTCAGGAATTGCTTTTTCCCCCGTGGAAATCTCTGCTGGCTGCTCTTCCCCGAGCTGCCCATGCGTAGGTGCAGGCAGGGAGACCAGTGAAATTCACTTCCCACCTTCCAGTGTGGGCTGGGATATCCTGTCCCTTCCCAGGAGCAAGACAAAGATGCTGCAGCCCCATCTCTGCTCAGCTATTCATGCCTTCAGCTGGATCAGATTAAACTCAGAACTGCCTTTGCACTGGAAGTGTCACTGGCCAATGATTGGAAAGATTATGAAGTTGAGGGGCAGTATTTTTATTTTATTTTTTCTTCCTTAATTTGCAGCGTGATGCCCTGGGAGCAGCGTGTGATGGAGATTAGCCAAAGGGCTGCTGAACCCACTGCTTGCTCTGCCCCTTAGCTTCTGGAGGAGCAGCAATTCCCACCTGGCTGTTTCCTAGGAAGGAGCAAAGTGGTGCTGTGTATACCAGCTGTTGCACAGCCAAAGAGTGTCACATAAACAATAGCTATTTGGGTGTGGATAATGGGGGTGAGCGTGCTGTGCTGGGGTGATGTGCACCCTCCACACCTACTCTCCTGCACAGTTGGAGATGTTGGTTTTCAAAGTGTTTATTTCTAAAAACCAGGCTGTTCTTTGCAACTGTGTCACACCCAATGTCCTATTGTGGTGCTGTTTAACACCCTGTGGTGTTAAATGAGGCAGCCCAGGCAGGGCCCTCCTGTCCTGGCTCAGAGATCCTGCTGGTCCCCATAGCTGTCACCACTTGGTTGTCACAGCCACTTCTATTTCCTTGAGCTCAGGGGCATGGTTTCCTCTCTTGGGAACACAGACTGTGGACTCTGGCTTGCAATTAGTAAAGCTAATTAAGGATGTGCACCTGAGACACCTCGAGCATTGCAGACCCAGCATCACTGTACTCCATTCTCTGGTCATGTCTGCTCACCCTGCTCCCCCGTGGTTCTCTCCTGTGGTGATGGTTTCCTTCTGGTTTAAATTCTAAGAACTAGAGGAAAAAGCAGCAGCACAGCCTGGTTTGGGGCTCTGCTTGTGTTTGTGTTCTGTCAGAGACCTGTGGCTTTTCCAGTGGTAGCAGCACTTTTTTGTTTGTGGTTTTTGGTTACCTGTGGTTGCTGTCAAAAGTTGAGAATCGTAGGTCCTTACTGAGCAGGCTGTGAGGCACATCCTTCCAGAGCTGCTGGTTCTGGAGGTGTGTTTATCCACAATAAATACAGCCCTGAGTTCTCTGTGTGCCTCCTGAGGCTGGCAGTGGTGCTCCAGCCCTGCAGCCTGGCTGGGACCACTCTGTGCAGGGATGGAACTTCATTTTGACTAGAAGAGTAAATTATTGTAACCACAAATGGTGAAACTTGGCATTGCTTCCTGATGCTGGAAGGGAGAGCAGTCCTTGAGGACTCCTGATCGAATTCATTTTGGTGTGTTTCCATGGAAACAGGCTGAGCAGGCAGGGTCCTTGGGGTAGCGCTGAGTCTTGGCGTGCTGTTCACAGGGATATTCCAGCTTGGAGCATGGCATTATTCCTTCATCCTTGGGTCCTGGTGCTGGGGGAGTAGGACAGGCCCTGCAGCAACCTCTCCCTCCTGCCAGGCTCTGGGGGTGCAGAGCAGGAGCCTTTGGCAGCCGAGTGTTTGTATTGGGGAGAAAACATTTCCAATGGTTAAAACAAGGGAGAACACAGCCGTATCTCTCCAGCGTGGGATGGAGCCCTGTTTTTCCACACAGCAAATCTCTTCCTGCTGGCTCCTTCCTGTGGTCAAGCCTCTTTCCTGTGGCCACGGCTTATCCCTTTCTCCCCAGCCCCCCTGCCCTGCCCTATCGCTGGTGTCACCACACTGCCATTCGGGTGCCATCCAGGGAAGGGGACACGTCCCACTGAGTGTCTGTGAGCACTGACACCAATTCTCTGTGCTGGGCCCTGCAGGGACACAGCCCCTGAGTGGGGACACGCTCTGTTCCCATGGTGCCAGCAGTCAGTCAGCCCCGTGCTGTGTCCCAGTCACAGCCCAGAGCTGTGTGACAGCGATGCTGTCCCGTGCATGCACACAGGAGCTCTCTCAGGAGCCGATGTTCAGCCAAGGCTCGCTACGTGTGGAGTCGAGTTGTGTTGCTCTGGTTTCCATTAAGAGCTCCTCCAGAGCCGGCCAGGCACGTATGGTACAGGCTCACACCCCCCTCTCCCTCTCTCCCTCCTTCTACCCCGGGCTGACAGGGACACACAGCACATGGAGACCCTCTGTCCCTGCCAGGTACCACCCTGGGACCTGCGTGTGCTGCCCTGCTCCTGGCTCACAGGTACACTGGGGCCATGGTGCCTTGTCACCTGTCCCCAGCCAGCACCCACGGAGGGGACAGACAGACAGACAGAGAGATGGGTGCTGGCTGGGGGTGCTGCTGCTTTCAGACGGGCTCAAGGACACACACTGGGCTGGGAGAGGTGTTCGGAGGGAGGGATTAAAAATCACCTTTGACCAGCTCAGGGGAGGGTCTGGATGGGGCTACAGCAGCATCAGGGATGGTGTTGGGGATTTGCAGGGGGATGAACAAAGATTCCCCTGAGCAAGAGCTGAATGAGCCTCCAGCCTGGCCTGAGTGAGCACTGGGGGACTGAGGGGGAATTATTTGCTGAGGTTTTCCATCAAGTCAATGACATCGTTCTGTGCGAGAGTTCACCATTTACGTGCTCCAGCCCCTGGCAGCTGGGGCTAAATAGCGACATTCAGGCCTGAATCTGCCCATTCAGGAGCAAAGGTTTGACCCATGGGAGGGAGCTGCTGAACGAGGCTTTTGAGGGAGAAGCAGGGGCTGCGCCCTGAGCCTGCACTGGGGACCCCGCAGTGCCCCCACCCCTGCCTGCCCAGGGACCTCGGGGAGGGTCAGGAGCTCCTGACTTGGGGACAGGGAAAGCAGGGCAGTCTGGGGAACCTGCTGGTATCCCACACGATACTTGATACAGGCCACTTGATTTATTTTCCCCAACTTTCATTTGTGTTGTCCAATTTTTCTCTCCCCTTCACAGCAGCATTTTTGAACATCCTGTGATTGCCACCACAGTTGTAAGTTTTATTTTCAAATCAGAAAAACCCATCCATGTACACCAAGTTCCTATATACAACAATCGTGGTGCTGGTTTGGCAAAGCAGTGGTGGGAGCTGGTTGCCTGTTACATTTGTGCCATCACATCTTCCCCACTTGTAATTTCATGAATTTCTGAAAGTGCCATCTCTGTGCACTGCCACAAAGGAGTCCAGCCTGGGACTGTGCCTATACCTGGTGTCCCAAATTAGGGAAAGTAACAATGTAAATCAGAGTCTAACATTATTCCTTTGCTTTTCTTTTTGTCACCTACGTCCTACTCTGAGGTCAGGCAAGTGCAGCCTCCTTCTGTTTGTATGTCAGGAATTGTTGTAGCTTTGTGCAGGATGATGTGGTCAATCTGTCCCTGCTGGCCCTGGGTCAGGCTCTGTTGTGGTGTCACTGTCACATCCCAGGGTCCCTCTGCCAGTGCCAGCAGACATCCTGCAGCCACACAGGGTGCAAAGACACAAAGCATCCTTTAGGCCAGAAACGTCTCTGGAAGGTCCAAAAATAATTTGGACTGAGCCACAGAAAACATCAGGCAATTTCTTTGCTTCCAGCCCAGCCTGTTCCTCACCAGTGGGAGCAGCAAGTCCCAGGGCCATCTGTGGGTGCCCAGGCAAGCCCAGCTGGGCCCCTGGCTCAGCTCTGTTCTCTGTGGCACTGTCCTTCCCTCAGGGCCTGTCTGTGTCCATGACCCCGCAGAGGGATGGTTATTTTTAGTCCTGCCTTTTTCCTCACATTTATTTTCTGACTCTACAGATTTTTCTCTCGCATTATGAAACAATTCCTGTGAACAGTGGCCAGTCTGTCCCAGAGCCCCTGTGCTCCAAGGAGCTGTGCTGGTGCACACAGAGCCCTGGTGTATCTCCTGAATGTTTTCCTGCAGGGAAGTGTGTCAGTGTCCCTTCCTGTCTGTGGCTGGACACAAGGCCATCGATCAGTTGTTGTATTGTGTGGTGCATCCATTAGTGCTGCAGAAGCTTTTTCAGAGAGAGAAAAAAACCAAATCCAATGCTCTCTGCAGCCTCTGAGGGTTGTTAATGCTGCAGCATTTTCTGCAGGGCTGAAATTCCCAATGCATATGGATTTTCGTAACTACCTTCCTGTGGTCTTGTTCCATTCAGGATAAATTGCTAAGACATGCAGCCTCTGTAGAACAGTTGCAGAAACCCCCAGCTGATTGTCTGTTCTTTTCCAGGATACTCCTCAGCAGTGCAGAAGTTCTCCCAGACTCTGCAGTCCTTCCAGTTCGACTTCATCGGTGACACACTAACAGATGATGAGATCAATATTGGTGAGTTCTCTGCTTTTTGAAGCTGACTTCCAGTAACTGGAAGAGTCTCCCTCTCTAGGAATCAGCCTGCCTGATGGTTTTTAAGCAGCCTCAGGAGCTGGCTTCCAGGCAGCTCTTGCAGAGAGCTTATTTTATGAAGTTGAACAGTCACGGGTCGAGTTTCACATTCCCAATTCAGCGGATAATTTGCAGAGGTTTTCCATGGCTCCAGGCCTGCTGCATGCTGCCAGGTGCTGGGGAGGAGTCAGCAGGATGGTGACCTCCCAGCCAGCCCCCCTTCCTGGTGCTGCAGTGGAGCCCAGGGGTGCTGCTCCCAGAGCTGCACTGCAAAGGCCTCGCAGGAACAAACTGCACCACGCTGCCCTGCAAAGGCACCAGGCTGCAAACTGCTGGGAAAAGGGTTGCTGGATGTGTCTCAAATGGAAAACAATGGCTGTCTGTGCCCTGGGCAGCCTTGCAGGGCTGCTCCCTGCACATCTGTTTGGGGATTAGTGATCCTGGAGCCGTGTTACATCCCTGCCCTCCCCCAGCACAGCTCTGGAAAAACTCAGCATCCAGGGCCCAGCTCTGGGAGTCACTCAGCATCCACAGCAGAGCTCTGGGAGTCACTCAGCATCCACAGCCCTGCCCTGGGAGTCACTCAGCATCCACAGCAGAGCTCTGAGGGTCACTCAGCATCCATGTCCCAGCCCTGGGAGTCACTCAGCATCCATGGCCCAGCCCTGGGAGTCACTCAGCATCCACAGCCCAGCCCTGGGAGTCACTCAGCATCCATGGCCCAGGGTGCTGAATCAAAGGCCCTTAATGCCCCAAACCCCCACTTTTGACATGAACCTGCTCTTGGCTTAGTGGGGTGAGTGGACCCTGCAGGGATGATGGGGGCTGCAGGAGGAACAACAGGGGATCCTCAGCCCCTGAGGTTCTGATCCTGCTCCATCAGACAAAACACTTGGGCCACCACTGGGCTGAGGTGCTGGGGTTGCCCATGGGCTCACAGGGCATTCTCCAGGCAGGAGCACAGGGCATTAATAGGATGAGGCCCAGGGCACAGGGTCTTTTCCAGACTGTTCCTGAGGGCTGCACATAGGGGAAAGAAAGAAAACCAGCTTTTGTCAGGCAGCAGTTGAAGAATGGCAGCAGTGTGACATTGCTGGTGTCAGATCCCTCAGCTGCTGTCAAAAGGGGAAGGAAGTAGAGCCTGTTGTATTTAAAGCCATGTGAAGCAGATTGCAGCCTGCCCCTCCAAGGCTTGTTTCCTTTATGGAAAGTCTCTGGGTGAGACCTGCTGGAAATGAGTCAGTCTCTCAAATCTAATGGCAGCAGAGATGCTGAGCTTCCAAACACACGTGGGTCAGGGAGGGGGGAACTCTGCCATGCAAATGCCTCTCCTGGGAGCTGAGGGGTCTGAGGCAAACAGCCATGCAAGGAAAGGAGTGTCCCTCCTCTTGGCTGGAAGAGACAAAGCTCCAACAACCAAGCAAGGCCGCTGGGAATGACAGAGGTTGAATAAAGGGAGAGCAAGAAGAGATCACAGCAGATTGTAAAACTCTCCATGGTGAAAGGAGCGTGTTTCCCTTCAGTTTTGCAGGGGAGTATTTGTTTTGCATTTTCAAGAAGAGGTCCCTAGTTTCCCTGTGAAGAAGCCTGGGCTGTGTTCCTCCTCCCACCCAAGCCCTGGTGTGCCTGCAGGGGTTGAGGCTTCCTTATTCCTGACACAGCAATGGGGCGTTGACATCTCCGTAGCAGCTTCCATCTCCTGCCAGGGTGCCAGGGGTCTGCGTGGGAGTGCAGAGCTCATTTGATGTGCAGGATATGGGAGTGAAGCACAACACTTACAGGCACTTCTGTGCTCTGCAAGAGAACGTGTTTGGGTTGTAAATAGAGCTAAAGTCACGCTGCTCTCTCGTTGTGTGGGCACAGAGCAGCCCAGCACCCAAGCGGGTGGCAGTGGGGACACTGTAGGTGGCAGTCAGGACACTGGGTTGATGTTGTCTGTGGTGAGCAGCACTCTGGGGACGTGAAAGGTCATGGATGCACCTGTGTTACCCCACAGTTGTGCCCTCTCCTGTGCTCCCTCCTGCAGCTCCTCCACTGTCACCTGACAGGACCCAAATCAGCAGTTCCTGCAGAGATGAAGGGGCAGTGAAATGGGATGGCATGTTCTTCCCTCCCAGGTATGGGAACCTGGAATTCTCTGGCTGTAAGGACCTTCCTGGAATGCTTCTGGCTGCCCAGCAGAGTCACTCTGGCATTTCCAGGTGTCAGTTCCCACGTGTGGCTGGGCAGGTGGTGGCTGCTGGTGGCCCTTCTGCTCCATACTACCCTGCAAGGGCTGGCGAATTCTGACTCAGGCCAGAAGCACAGATCCACCCTGCTGCTCCCAGGCACTGCTGGCTGGCAGCAGGATCTGAGCCTTGTGTGTGGTGCAGGGTCAGACTCAGTGGGCTGTTCTGTGACTGGAGCCACTGGAAACATGTTCCTGGCTTCTTCCTGTACAGCAAAGGAGAAAAAGCAGCTAGGGAGCGTTTTAGGCACTGACATATTCCCTGTAAGTTTGGATTCTCTTTCTGCCTATGATAATTCTTTCCTGGCTCTGGCCCCTGGTGTCCCTGCACTCCATCATCCTGGGGAGCCACAGTGACAGTCCCGTGTGGCCCTGGCTGTGAGCACAGTGAGCTGTAGGGCCATTGCATTGCTGGGTGCTGGAGAGCTCAGAAGTTCCTGACTCATCAGGAAGGTCTGTTGTGCCACTGCCAGCTGAGGGCTCGTGTCACGAGGCTGCAGTTGTTCCCTTTTGTGTGGGCAGCTGCAGAATAAATCCTCAGGCTGGATTTTAGCAGGACAGGTACCTCTCCAAGGTGCCCCTGTGGATGAGGTGAGAGGGCCCTCAGCTTGCACAGAGAGCACAGGAGCACCTCTCCCTGCCCTGTGGGACAAGTTAATCCTGTGCCCGCCTTGCTGTACACCTGCTGTACCTCCTCGTGTGCTGCCCTGGCCTGCCCAGTGTGCTGAAGGGAGGGAGGGTCTGAACTGCAGAGCTCTGGGGTCTGACAGAGCCACTCTGGGATGTTCCCACCAGGACAAGGGGGAGCCTGGCACCCACCAGACCTGTCCCACACTGTGCTGAGCTGGCTGGAACTGTGGGAAACTTTCCCAGCCAACTCCCAGGTAGTTGCTAGGTACACTGGGGTGATCAGGTTGTTCCCCCAGGCATCCAGCACACAGCCACTCTACCTGCATGGGCAGGTGTTTGCCCAGCCTTGCCTTGCCGCCCAGAGGTGGGAGTTTGGCTTGGCATTGTCAGTGCTCTGCTGCTGAGGGGTTTCATCTCCTGTGAGAAATTCAGCCCCTTCCCAAGTTCTCCTTCAGTGGGCAGGGAGAGGGGCTGCACGTGAAGGACTGGACTCCCACCTAGTATTTTATTTCCCCAGGCTAAATTATTCTTATTTCAGTCTGTTAAAGGAAAGATTTCATGCTATTTTTATTGTAGTTGGGCTCCAACTGCTTATCAATGAGATCTTTTTGTTTCACTTCTAACATTTTGGGGAGTGGTGTCAGTGTCTGTGACCACGTCTACACCTGCTGCCTTTCCTCCTGTACATGGACTTTGTGCTTCCTAGTGCTGAATGTGATTTTTGTCATTCCAGGCCATTTTCATTTGACTCACTTGTCCTGGTCCTGGCAAGCATCTGCAGCTCTTCCTGGGACAGAGGTGCCAGGCCCATCCTGGTGCTGCTGGCAGCCCTGTCCTGCCCACAGCTCCCACTGTGGCAGTGCCTGTTCTGCTGCAGACCCTGGGGATGGCAGCTCCCCTTCCCCCTGTTTGGCCTTTCCCTGTATTTTCCCCTTCTCTGCTGCCTGTATTGCCATCTCTATAACACAGTTCCTAATAAAAGCTAATTAACATCCTCTTACCTTCCCAGGCCTTCACTCCTTCTTATCCTGGGTAGGAGATCCTACCCCCCTTGCATAAATGAAAGCCTGCACCTGGCATTGCCTCACTCAGTTTCTGCCAAAAGGAGCCACCTCTTCTTGGTTTTTTTGCCAGCCTTTAGACAGCCATGCTGGGGGTGCAGCCACCTTGGGGTGTCCTGACATATGTCTCACACTCTGGTGCCACATCCCAGCTCCACTGACCAGCCTCTTCTTTTCTTACAGCTGAGTCCTTTAAGGAGTTCGCAGAGCTGCTGCACGAAGTGGAGCTGGAGAGGTCCATGATGGTAAGGAGATGGGAACTGGGCTCTGTCCTTCCTGACATGGCTAAATTCCAAATCACAGCCTCACCTTGTGCCTCGGTGTGAGGCTTCTCATCAGAGGGAAGCTGGGAGCACTGGGACTGTGCTTTGTACTCATCTGGTCCGTGGGCCCTGAGCATGGGGCAGGCACAGCAATAAGTGTGGGGGACTGTGGCTCTCCCAGGCACTACAGGCAGGCACAGAGCCCCAGGCCCTGCAGCTGGAGGGGCTGCAGTGTGTGCAGACTGCTCACCAGCTGCTTCTGTAGTGAAGGGTTAAAGAATAAGGAGTGTTTTTGCTCAGTTCTTGCTGGGTGCAGGAAGGCAGGTGTCCCTGAGCCCATCTGTGCTAGTCCAGCTCCTGCAGTACAATGCACCACCATCAGCTTCCAGCTGCCATGTGCCCTCAACTCTCCAGGGCTCCTCCAGAGCCAGTGCTGGCTTCCCATTTCACTCCTAATTCCAGGAAAAACATGAAGGTTAGGCTCGGTGGAGAGCTTACAGTGAGCCAGGAATGTGCTGCTTGGCTCTGCCTTCCCCTGCCTCGTGCAGCAGCAGGAGCTCCTGCCAGGCTGGGCTGGAGGGTCCATGGGCAGGCAAGGAACAGCAGGAAACCAGGAAAGCACTGAGATACTTCTTTATGATTATTTACATCCCAGGTACAGCGGCTCCTTTAGCAGTGGGGGGAGCAGTGGAAGGTATTGTTTCAGGGATTATGGGTACTGTCTAATTTTCAAAGTTGGGTTTTTTTCCCCTCTGCTTGCAGGACCAGTTCTGTTTTACAGCAGCTCCCTCAGGAGGTTTCACACTCACGTGTTCATCAGCTTTAAATTCCCTGAAGGGCTGTGGCTGTGTGGTGTCCTGTCACTTCTTTTCCCCTCTCCCTTCTCTGGAGCTTGGGACAGAGCCTGTCAGGGAAGTGGGGTTGGGAGGAGACAGCAGGTTGGTCCCAGTGCCAGTCTGGAGCTGGAGCCAGTGATACAAACTGGGATGAGCTTTCATGTGGATTCATGGTAAAGGTGTGCAGAAAAGCATCTCTCAGACATGAGACAGGAGTGGAAGAAACACAGGCAGGCTTTCCCTCTTCCCTAGCAGCTCCTGTGACAGGTAACCTTCTGGCTGAATCTCGAGACAAGGGAAATCCACCCTTTATTTGAGAGCAGCCTTGTTAGATGGGGATGGAGGACACCCCTGTCATACACAGGATGTGTATGGGAGGTGGTTGGGGTTTGCTGTGTGTTACCCATGGGGAAGAGTGGGTACAGATGGTTTAAGTGAGTTTACCTGCAGACAGAGCAGAAGTTTCCAGTCAAAAACATTAAAATCTCAGAGTTCTTGGCTTCTAGCCCTGTTCAGACTCTGTGTAGGAGAAAATTGATCAGCATCCTGCAATTAAAATGCTTTTTCTTTGCACTGTAGGTGCAGAATGCAAGTGATCTGCTGATCAAACCTTTGGAAAACTTTCGGAAGGAGCAGATAGGATTCACCAAGGTAAGGCTTGTTTGTTTGTTTTCAATGTAAACAGATTTGTTTTCTATTACTGTGTCTGAATTCAGATTTTTCTCCTGTTGTTGTTAACAAGCAGGCAGTTGCTCTACTGCATTCTGACTTGAGGCGCTCAGAAACTCCCTGTTCAATGCTGGCTTTCAGCTGCTGGCATGAGTGTTCGTGCTGTGACTTTTAGTCTGATTTTTCAATCATAAGAGGCTCCAAAATCTTTTCCTGAGTTCTTTGGGTTCTCTCCTGGCCTGATTCCAGCACCGCCTCTGTCCTGAGCAAGGAGTGCTTGTTTCAACCAGGAGATCATCCTTGCTGCTTTGTCTCCTCTCCCCTTTGTTCAGTCAGTGCTATTGAGAATAAATTACTTTCTGCAGAGAAGTGTGCAGTAGAGTGGGAGGGAGGAGGGGAAGGAGGGAAAGCAGGAGAGGCCAGCAGGCAGAACCTGATTATAGTCATAGGGCTTTTGTTATGAAATATTTGCATAAAACATCTAATGAGTCTTTCAGATGGACCAAACTTTTAAAGAAACAAGCTATAAAAAGCAAATTCTGCACATGTGGAGCACAAAAGATTATTTTTCCCTTGTCTGCTATCAAGAAGTCCAGGTTCCATGTTACTCAGCAGCAGCTTAAAATGGGCCTGGCTGTGACCCAGCTCCGAAATGGAGATGTTTTGGAGAACACTTGAGGCTTGGATTCAGCCCAGCCCATCTGGAGGCTTTGACGTTTAATAAATACAGGGTTTGAGAAGAGATCCTCGATGGCCTTCCTGCCCTTTGCCATGCCCTGAGGGCTGGTGTGTGGGACCCTCTGAAGAGCTACAGCCACAAGCACGGCAGAGGTGCTGCCCACAGCCCCTGCTCTCGTGTCCTTGGGGCTGTTTTCTTCCCAGAGAGCCCTTAAGGTGTTGAAGGGGCACTTTGCCCCCAGCCCAGAGCGTGCTGTGCCCCAAGAGCTGAGCTGCCTGCACCCAGGGGCTGTGTGCCCGTGTCCTGCTCTGCAGTGGCCATGCCCAGCAGGCAGAAAGGTCTCAGCACTGACAGGATTCACTTGGCAGCCTGCAGCCCTTCCTCCATCCCTGTGGATGGGCGGTGGAAGCACAGGGTGGTGACAGTGGCAGGACACTGCTCAGAGCAGCTGGAGAGGTGGCAGAGGGCAGGGAGTTGTTGCAAGTGGCTCAGCCATTGTAGTTTGGTTTGGGGTTTGGTTTTTTGTGAGGAACAGGAACTGCAGAGGTGCCTGAGCACCGTGGTGGGAAGAGGGCTGTGCTGTGGCTCAGCACAAGTGCTCCATGCAGAGCTCTCAGGGCAGCACCTTACCCTGTGCCAGGACCTAGGCATGCACAGAGAGGTGCCACTGTCCCCAGTGCCACCCCAAAGCCTTGAGACGGTGCAAATTTGGGAGCGAGCCCCAGCCCCTCCAGCCCCCTGTCTTCAGCTCTGATGCTCCCCTGACTGGAGCCTGTGCCACGCTGCTGCTGGGCTGTACCCTCAGGTGTCACCTCGGGCACAGAGCCCTCCTTCACCTGCCAGCCTGCACAGCATCTCTGGCTCATTCAGAGATGATCCACCCGGCAGCAGAAGGTGTGAATGAGGCTCCTCACAGTGGGGCTCTGTCAGTGTGGGTTCCTCCCGTCGCTGCTGGGCCTGGCATTGCCCCGTGGACCCTTTCTGGTCTGCACCAGGGGCAGAGGCTGAGGCTGGGCTGTGCAACAGGCTGGAGACATGACACAGGGAATTTGTGCCCTCTGCTTGGTTTCCGTATTTTGGCAGCGTCGCCTTCTGTGAGATGTTTTCTGTTCCCTGTGCGAGCTGCTGGAGCCAAATAGGAAGAGCCCTTGAATTGGGGCTTTGTGATGCCTCTGGCTGGAGCTCAGCCAGTCTGACCAGCACATCTGAGTCTGCATTCAGCCGTTCTCCCGGGAGGAATGGAGTCTCCTCGGGAGGCTGTGCTGCCTGGGGGCAGCCCTGGGCTGTGCTGGGACCCCTCCAGCCACTCCCTCCCACCACAGCCCCATGGGGTCACTTTTCCCTGTGACTTTCTGTGCTCTAATGTGCCACATCACAGATAAAAGGGAGGATCTGGGACCCCCTGAGCTGACCCATTTCTCAGCTCTGGCACTCATGTGAGTGTGGAAGGAGCTGGTGCATTTGGAGGCCCCATCCTTTCCTCTCCATAACCCTGGGGCTCAGCTCCATGCTATGGGGCTGGGACACTTTGGGAAGAGCCTGGCCACACTTACTGAGTCAGGGAGGATTTTAATAAAAAAATTTAATTCCAGTTTCTCTTGGAAGGAGACAGCTTTTTTTAAAAAACACAAATCCAACCAAAAAATCACAGGGAAAGGCTTGTTTGGATGTACTGTAAGGGAAAGAGGAATGCTGAATAGCTGCAGTGTTTGTCAAAATTTCTTCCATAGGAGATAACATATTCCTAAAATGTCTTAGTTAATACTGCTATCAATTTCATTAATTATAATTTTAAAAGAAAGGGAGGATAGTAACTTCTACTTGCTTTCATCTCTGGGGGAGCATGGCCTGAGGAGCATTTGAGAGAAAGCAGTGAGTGAGGAAAAACACCAGGATGAACTGAGTGTGCTTTGATAGATCTGCTCTTTCTATACCCCTTGACTTTTTAGAAATCTTTTTGAATTAATTGCTGATGCCTCATAAAAATGAGCTATGATGATCCTCCATCCACTGTTCTTTTCACCCAAACCCCTCAGGTGTGCATGCATGTGGGGGGAGTCCCAGCAGGAAAAGTGTTTAATTCCTTATCGAGAGGAGAAGTTGCCCTCATTTGCCACTCCACCTCTCTGAAGATGGGAATTTCAAAAGATCCTAATTAGCAATTAATGTTTAAAGGGGAGTTTTGGCCAGTCTGTTTGCCCCTTTCCCTGTGGTGAGCTGGACCCAAAGCTGCTGAGGGGCTCTGGTATAACCCAGTGCTGGCAGCAGTCGGGATGTGGGCAGACCCCAGCACACACAGAGCGGCCAGAGCTGTGCTGGATCACCTGTCACACCTGGATCAGTGCTGTCCCACAGGCTCCTGCCCATCCCTGGGCACAGCAATGCCTGTCAGAGTTCCCAGGGTGGGGTTTTTTACAGAGCACCCTCCTGCCTGCACTCGGTGGGATCTGCTCGGTTGCTCCCAGTGAGCAATAATCAGAAGGTGGGTGGTTCTTGGACTTGGCAAACCTTAATGGGGACGTGCTGCCCTTTGCTGAATATTCATGAGGAGCTAATTTGTGCTCATGTTTCCAGATTGTGCTTCAGTCTGGGTGATCTTTTTCTGTTGTTTTTTTGTCCTGGCTTGCTCTGTTCAGCAGCCAGCTCAGAAGGATTTGTAGGTCATCCTTCTGCTGTTCAGTTATGTGCTAATTAGCCAGAGTGGGAATGATTGGCAAGCTCCCTCTTAGTGGCCCAAATTGCCATGCTGCACTGTAGTCCTGTGGCTCATGGGTCCATCTTGGATATCATTCCCAGTCCCTTCAGTCCCGAGAAGGAACTCAGTGCTCCATGTCCCCAGTGCAGCTGTGTGCCTCTGCCTGCTATGGGTGCTGGCAGAGGAGGCACTCCCCAAAGGAGTTACTGTCTGCCTACCCAGCTCCTGCTGCAGAAGGAGCTCCACTGCTCTCCCAGGCTCTTCCTTTCTCTTCACCACTCTTTCCCTGAGCAGAGGTGACCCCTGTTCCTCAGAACCCACCATGTCTTCCCACAGGATGTTGGTGGCAAAGCTGCTGCCTGGTGGTTTGTGGTCTCCCTGTGGCTGCAGGCTGTGGCCTCCTGTGGCCACACACAGCTCGTGGCCTCCTCCATGGCTTCATGTTCTTGTGGCCATCTGCACAGCAATGTCACCTCTCCTGGGGACAAGCCAGGAGCCAAATGCCCCCAGGCTGCTGCATCCAGAGGCACATCCCCCTGCCCATCCCATCCTGCTCCCTGCCCATGGGCTCTGCTGTGCCTGGCCACGGTAGCACCAGGCTCTGGTGGGCAGCTGTTCCCTTGCCCCGTGCTCTCCCACAGCTCCTGGCAGCCTCCCTGATGGAGAGCAAGAGAGGTTGGTCCCAGCTCTGGCCTGGAGGGTGGCTGTCTTCCCTGGTGGCCTCTCCACAGGGTGGGGACAGCTGAGTCACCTTACATGAGCTACTTGCTGGTGGTGAGAGGTGGGGGAGGATTCCTGGAGTGGGCTTCAGCCCCATTCCTGCTGCTCACCCACAGCTCTGCTGAGCAGCAGGGATCCATCCCTGCACCATCCCTGTGCTGCCACCACCTCTCTGCACACCACCTTGGTGGACACAGTGGAGCTCTTGGTTGGGTTTAGAGTTAGTTTTCCATGGCAGCACCTGCTTTTCCATCTCAGGACCTGCTGCTGGCACAGCCATCTCCTCTGAGATGTGAGGAGGTGGCCACAGGAGCACTGTGCCTGCAGCCCCACAGCTCTGCTTCCCTGCACTTCTGTGCCCTCGGGCTTTGGAGGCCCCTCATTAAGGAAATGGAAACAACACAAGTTCCTGGCTGTATTAGATGGGGCATGGATGGCACAGACAGCCCAGGAGTTTGACCTTACAGACACAGGAACTGCTGCTCTGCAAACGCTTTCACTGCACTGGGTTTGGGTTTGCTGATCAGGGCGTTAGTCACGAGGGTGGTGGTTTGTTTTGGTTGTCCTTCCTGGCCTCAGCCCCGCACTTGCTGTTCTGCTTAAATTAGGATTCACCCTTGGAGGACTCTCTGCTCCTCTGGATTTGATTGTTCTGATGTGTGAGGGTGCTAACACGGACTGACAGTACCTGATATTGCAGGGGGTGATCCCAGAGGATGCAGGTGTTCTGTAATTCCAGGGTCTGCAGGGCAGGATATGTAATTGCTGGGGTGAAAAGGTTTGCTGGGCTAAGCCTGCCCTGCTCTAGACAGTTCCACATAAGCGGGGGTTGTGAGGTTGGTGCTACTTCCTCATGATAATTGTGCTTTCACTACATCCATGTCAGGACTCTTGTGGGGAGAGAATCCTCTTCCCTGGAAGGCAGCTGGCAGGAAGGCTTATTACTGTTCTTGGGAGCCACCTGTGCTGAGCCCAGGGGTTTTGGGAGCCCCCAGGCATCCTGCTGCAGGGCATCCTGACAGACAGATGGAATAGTCTGTGCAAGTGGAATGGAGAAGCAAAACTTCAGGCAGGGGAAGCTGCGGTCACTACTGAATTCATGGGGAAAATTCCCAACACCCAACAGCCTGGCAGAGTCCATCTGCACTGGTTTGTGGTGGCTTGCTTATCCATGCATTTCTGAGTGGGGGCAAAAGAACAGGATTTCATGGCTTTCAGGAGATAGGTGTTGAAAGATTCCAGCAATTCCCCAGGAAGCTGCTGCTGCTTTCCATTTTCTTGAGCTTCAAAAGCCAGAGGATCTCATAGATACCTGCACTGTGTGTACATCAGCTCTCATTTGCTTGGACCTGGCACTGAGGCTGCTGCCAGGCTGGAATTTCCTGATTTTTAGTAATTTAGTTGCCTCCCAGGAATCTCTGATATGTCAGATACCATCTGAAATGGGTATTTGTCAGCCTGGCCCCTACTCTGTTTGTTTTTGATCTCTCTTTGTCACAGTCAGTGCAAGGCAGGAGCCAACAGCCTGGTGCTCAGTTCTGCTGCTCCCTGCCTGCTCTCAGGGCTTTCTTCTCCAGTGTCTCTGTTTGCTGCTCTCCTTCATTTGTGCTCTCTGCAGCACTGCTGGCAGGCAGATGAGGATTTCCTGCCTGCCATCCTGCCAGGCTTCTGCTTTCCTTCTGGTACTCTTCAGAAACAAATTATAAACTCTTTAGAACAGAAAGTTGCCAAAATCTAATGAGCCTTTTCTTGACCTTGACGTGTCTTGACATTGCAGTGTTTGCTGTGTGAACAGCACATCGGGAGATGGTGAACAGGTTTTTGATGTATGAGTACGTCTTCAGTTTACTGGATATTGAAGAGATTGAGAGAGGGAACAGCACCTCATGGTGGGGCTTTTGCCATGATGCTGGCATGAAAAAATACTTCTTATGCCACAGAATATTGCTAGACTGGGTCTTGAGGTGTAATTGCATCCAAGGGGCTGTGAAAGCAGAGCAAATAAGAAGTGGCCTTCTGTTCTCTGTCTGGGTTCACCAAAATTTTTCCATGGGAATACAGAATTGCACAAAGGATCTTGGTGTTGATGTATGTTCTTGTCTGGAAAATGCCAATAACGGGTTCTGCTTCAACTTCTTGCATCCACAGGAAAGAAAGAAAAAGTTTGAGAAAGATGGTGAGAAGTTTTACTCTATGCTGGATCGCCACTTGCATTTGTCTTCCAAAAAGAAGGAATCTCAGTTACAGGAGGTGTGTATGGAATTTTTCTCAGAGTTAGGTCCAGAAGCAACAGCACCATCTACCCAAAGCCTGGATTCTCTGTGAGACCAGGGAAATCAAGCTCATAGTTCTCCTGTGTCTGTTGGATGCTGGTAGTGGCTTTAGACATTTGTCATTGCTTGCTGTCACCTTGATGGTGACCAGTGGCACAGCTGGGGACTGGCCACAATTCCACCTGGGGAAGTGCTCTGGCTGAACAGTAACCAGTTATCATTCCTTTTGCTGGCCTGGCTCCTGCCTTGCTGCTGGTGCTTTTTGGGTGGCTGTGGATGCAGGCAGAGGGGGGTTCCTTCCAGCTGGTGCTGCTGCAGGCATGTTGCAGCGAGGAAGGAAACTCAGCTGCTCCAGCCCACAGCAGAGCAGCTGGATCTGGTCAGATCTGTCAGACCAGTTGTCAGATCAGCCTAGGAGCATCTCTGCAAGGCAGACTGAGCTCTGGGTGTATTGTGTGCTGCAGCTCCAGAATTGCTGGCTCTGGCAGTCAGGCAAGAGGGTGGTAATGATGGCCTGGCCAGGAGAAGAGGTGGAGAGAAGAGGTTTGTGCTAAAATAACAAATGAGCTTTGGGAAAGCTTTGTCCTTGCAGAGTGAGAAGAGGTTTTGGATCCTTAAATGAAAGGGAGCTAGAAATGGGCAAACTTAGAAGAATATCCCATGTTCAGTTCACAGCTGGGCTGGACACCAGGCAGGTTTTTAGTGAGGCCAGAACTATGTGTGGGCTGACAGACAAAAGCGAGTCAAATATTTTCAAACTACACGTGATGTATTTTCTTTTTCCACCTTTCCCTCTTTCTTCTAGGCTGACCTTCAGGTGGACAAAGAGAGACACAATTTCTTTGAGTCTTCCCTGGAGTACGTGTACCAGATCCAGGAAGTACAAGAAAGCAAGAAATTCAGTATTGTGGAGCCGGTAGGAGCTTCCTTTTCTCTCAGTCTCATTGGCTGATGCTCACATGTGCTGGCAGTAGCAGGAAGGGACGAGTTGCCAGGTTGGATTAGGTCCTATGGGGCAGGAGTTAACCCTTCACACCCTATCAAGCTTGCTGCAGCTTGATAGCTTTAGTGGTGCTTGCTGGAGCACTGTGAAGTCCCAGCCCTGTTTTTTCTGGCTGGCTGTGGATCCTGAGGAACAGGTTGGACACTGAACAGAGCTACAGGTCTTGTTATGGCTTATCTTGGCCCCCTTGGGTTTGGTAAGTGCTGTCTGTCTGCAGAGGCACAGAGGTGTTACCTGCCCTGCTCACCTGTCCCAGTCTTTCCTTCTGGGTGTTTTATTCAGACAGGTGTGTGGGTGGTAGCTTGTGCTTTAGGGGCATTGCAGTGGATAAGCCATACCAAGGCTGGCATTCCAAAGTTGTGAGGATAAAATAATTGTGTATGTAATTCCTGAAACCCCACACTCTGTCTTTCCTTCCATTACAAACACAGAAGTTCAGTGTGCCCCTTCCCTCCATGGCAGGTGCTGGCATTTCTCCACAGCCTCTTCACTTACAACAACCTGACAGTGGAGCTGACACAGGATTTCCTCCCATACAAGCAGCAGCTCCAGCTCAGCCTGCAAAACGTGAGTCCCTGCCCAGCTGAAGGACTTTTCTGTTTGACTTCTGTTCTCATTTGGATTTACACACCTCTGATGGCAAGGTCTTTCCACCCAAGCAATCTGGCCATGTTTGCATTGTTGCAGATACAGTTATTTCCTTCTCAGTTCATGTGGATTTTCCCCTTTCCTGCCTGTCCTGCCTCCTGGGACAGTTCACAGGCCTTTGAAATTGTTTTTTTCTGGAAGGGGCTACTGCAGTTGCATCATTTAACCTGGTGCATAAACAAGCCTGAGATCTTCTTTCAGTTTCATGAAATTGATATTGCACTCTAAGAAGACCTCTAATCTTTATGGTACTGGCTTCCTACAGGCTTGCTACATGCTTTGGTAAACTCCTCTGTTGGCCAAGTGTGTTCATGGGGTAGAATATCTGAGTCTTTCCTGACTGGCCTTCATTTCTGTGGAATGACAGCCATAAATCTGAGCAAGATGGTTTTGCTGCTGGCTCATTAATTGGTCCAAGTAGTATTCCATCAAAATGTCTGGATTTTGTACACCCTGTTGATGGGATTCTTTCATGCTGAGCAGTGTAGCAGGATCCTTTGGGAATCAACACCTTTGGGAGGAGAATACATCTGTTACCTGAGCAATGCTGTGAACAGGAGCTCAGGTGCTGCCTCGGCTCCAGCCAGCCTTGAAATGTGCTGAAGTTCCTTAATTAGGGGAACAAGTGGCCTCCCAGCTGTGGCACTCCAGCACCATCTCTGCACCTGATGTGTCTCTTCAGTCATCCCTTAGAGCTCAGAGGTTCCTACAGCTAGTTTCCATGTGGATTTGTGGAGTGGTTTCCATGTTTTGTACCTTGGGAACTGATTCATTTCTGCTACAGCACCTCAGATTTGTCTAGGAATATATAAACTGCAGCTCACTTGTTGCTCATGTTCAAATATTCTTCTGTTTATTTTCTGTTACCAGACAAGGAATCACTTTTCCAGCACACGGGAGGAGCTGGAAGATCTGAAGAAGAGGATGAAGGAAGCACCCCTAACCTGCAAGCTGCCTGGGCAGCCAACCATCGAGGGCTACCTGTACACTCAGGAGAAATGTAATGGCTTTGGGATGCACCTGGATGCAATAGGGAGCATGCAGGGCTGCCCTGACATAACCCAGCTGTGGGCTGTACTCAGCTCCTCTGCCCAGGCCAGCCCTGCTGCACTGGGTGTCACCACTGCCAGGGCATGGCATGCCCAGGGTGTCACCTCCTGCCAGTGCCTGAGGTGCCCAGGGTGCTGGGGAAGCACCAGCAGCCTCAGCTGGCAGCTCTGTCAGCAGTGGCACAGAGCTGTGTCCAAGTGACCTGTTTGTGACAGCACAGGGCTAATTGCCCTGTGCTGAGATGGGATTTATGACTCCAGAGCCTGGAGCTCTGGCAGGCTCTGCCTTGGCCATGTTTTACCAGGATGAATCTGGTGTCCTGCCCAGCCTCCCTCTGGCAGCCTCTGCAGGCAGCTGAGCCCAGCCAAGGTGGAACCAGTGCTGAGTTAAGCTGCTGAGAGCAAAACTTGTAATTCTGAGCAGAATCAAATCAGACTTTTTCCAAACTCTGGCTGCAGCTCTCCATGGCCATGCAGCAGGAATGCACAGGGAACATAAGTCTGTGCAAAACTGTGACTTCTGAGGCTACAGACAACTTTGTAAGCATTCATTCTTAATCTTATATAGAAATCTATTTATACATATATTTGTATGTCTGTTTATCTTGCTTTTAAAAGAAAGCACACTCAGTAATTTTAGACTCCAAATGTGGCATGTTCCTGCAGGCCAGAGGCTATTTGCTGCTTCTATTTATGCTTCCCTATAAATCAAGTATGAAAAGTTGTTCTTCCTGACAACTGCAACTTTAAAACAAATTACGGAAAAAATACCAGTTGAATTATTTCCTATAAAAAGGGTTCAGGTAAGAAAACAGCGAAAATTGGAAATGACTCCAGAAATAGGAATTTCAGAGTTTTTTAAAGCTGCTGTTGTCTTTATTATTGAGTTTTCACCCACAGGAAAAAGTAGTGGGGTTTGTGAAACAGGCATTCAGGACATGTAGGATCCTGCCAGTGTAGGTCTTGGCTGGGCTTGGCCAAACCAGCCTGGCTTGTGGTCAGAGTCCCACAAATGTCCTTTCACAGCAGTGAGCTGGGAGGCAGCTGCTGCCCTGTGCTCCTAGAGGCAGCTGCTGCCCTGTGCTCCTCTTCTTCTCTCCCCTCCTCCTCTCCTTCTGCTCTTCCCCTCCTCCTGCTTCTCTCTTCATCTCCTCCCCTTTCTCTCTTCCTCCTCCTCCTCCTCTTTTCCTCCTGGCTCTTGCCCATGGAGACACCTGCAAGGGAGATGTGTCCTGGGGCTGTCAGTGTCCATCCCCAGAGAAGGGAGGACATGTGGGCAGCCCTGACCATGCCTTGCTGGCTGCATCCAGCTACAGCCCTGCCCCTGATTCTGTCCTCTCCTGTGTTCTGCAGGGGCTCTGGGCATCTCCTGGGTGAAATATTACTGCCAGTACGAAAAAGAGGCAAAAACCTTACGGATGACACCCATAGACCAGAAGCCTGGAGCTAAGCAGGTGAGTTGGATGCCTGCAAACATTGGCACAACCCTCAGGCCCACCTTCCACCCATGTATGGCCTCCCTGCCCATGCCAGGTGACCCTGCAGGTGCCACAGAGCAGAGGGGTGGGCTCTGTCCCCTCCCTGCCAGCACAGGGCAGTTTGGTGTCACCTGGAAGAGGCACCTCCATGGGGAAAGGTCTCACTCCAGTGTGTCCCTGGGAGCCCAGGCCCTGCAGGGTTGGCAGCAGATGTGGAACGTGGGACATGGGAGATACCAGACAGTGCTGGCCCATGAGTTCAGTCTGGGGTGAAACTCGTGCTTCTCTGGACCAGCTGATGTTGATCCTTCCCACAAGAACTGTGGCGGCCACTGAAGTGCCTGAATGACTCAATTTACTACAGGAGTTACTGCTTCCAAATGCAGCATTTCCTTGTCTCAGCATGTGCTCACAGCACTGGTTTGTGGTTTGATTTCTGCTCTCAGCACTGGTTCTGTGGGACTGGAACAGTGTGGGGAGAGGAGAGGGCAACAGTGCAGCTCCAAACTGCACTAAGGCAGCAATTTGGGTAACTGCTTCTTTCACAAAGTGCTTCGGTTTACCAAAGTCTGGGAGTTCCCTCAGTCCCTCCTCGTGACTGGGAGGGGTGGGAGGATGGAGCACAGCCAGTGCCTCCAGCTGAGTCCCCCGCCCTGCTCTGCCATGGAGCAGGGTCCCCAGGGCTTCCCAGCCAGCCCTGTGTGCTCCAGTGTGTGAGCTCATGGTCTGGTTTTGGCAGGGCTCTGCACGCTGCAGCAGGAAAATAAAATAGATGTTTTGCAACCCCTTGGCAGAGAGCTGGGCAAAGAAATGTCCGAATTATTGCATGGAGAGATTTGTGTTCATCTATGCCATAAGCATGTCTGGTAAGGCCCATTACTGCAGGTAGAAAAACTTAGTGCCTTTCCCAGGCTCTGGCAGTCTGGTAGCCTGCACCATCAGGTCACAGCTGGCCACAAACCCACAACTGAATTATGAATTGACTCTGCTGCAGAGCTCAGGGATATGAACACCCAGGGCCAGAGCTGAGCCTCTCCAGAGCATGTCTGCTCTGTCTGGGGTGAGGAAACGTGCATCCCTTTGCCACAGTGTTTGTGTAAAGCCGTTTGGATCATTGGTGATGTGGGGGATCAGTACTGATAAAAATTAGAACCCAGCTGTGTCAGAGCACGGGTGAGTGTGGTCCTGGCTCAGAGACTGAGGAGTGCCTCGCTGGGTTGGTGTTCCAGCACTGGAGAGGCAGAGTGCTGCTCTGTGGGTAGTGCTGTTGAGTCCAGAACATTCTCTGGCTCAGAGCAAGCCTGGAATTCGGAGCCTGTGCTGATGGTGGGAAGACCCTCGTGGTACCTGTGCTCCTGGTGCCAATGCCAATGGGAATGCCAGGACAGGCACCGTGGGCAGTGCTGTGCTGGGCTGCAGCTGGGGGACCTGAGGAGCCCAAAATCTCCCATGTTTCTGTCCTCTCACCTTGGCTTCCATGTTCTCTCCTAGGGCACCTTGGACCTGACCCTGAAATCCTGTGTAAGGAGAAAGACTGACTCCATAGACAAAAGGTTTTGTTTTGACATTGAAACTAATGAAAGGTGAGAGCCTTCGCATCTGGTGGCCCCAAACCCCACGGGCTTGCAGCAAATCCCTCTTTGCTGTTAATTTAAACAACTTTTCTTCCTTTCCCTGCCTGTCCCTGGGGGAATTCCGTGCAGGTCCGGGACCATCACGCTGCAGGCGCTCTCAGAAGCCAACCGGAGGCTGTGGATGGAGGCCATGGACGGGAAGGAGCCGGTGAGTGTTCCTGGAGCTGTTCCCAGCTGGAATGAGCTGCCCAGCAGTGTCCTCTGCCGGTGGCTGCTGCTCGCCATCAGTGCTGCACGGCCTCCGTGCTGTTCCCTCAGCTCCCACTGGGCGTTTTGGGTTTCTCCCCTTAAATCTCGGGATGTTCCCTCGCTGTGCCAGCACACCATGGTTCACTCCTATTCCTGCTCCTCTGCTCCTATTCCTGCTCCTCACTGCCTGCTGGAGATGATGTTTTGTCTGTCCCTGCTCTCAGCCACCCTTTCAAAGGTGTCACTGCCCACCCTGCACCTATGTTCTCCACTGGTGTTCCCTTCCTTCAGTCTGAGCAAAGCTCAGAGCCCTGTGGTTTGCCTACCACAGAGAATTTCCCTAGCAATAGGTGCCCCACTGAAATGCAGGGAGGCAGCAGAAACTCCTTGATTGTGCAGATAATGGGTTCTTGCCTAATTATAAAATTAGATTTCTATGGGGCATTGTCTTTCTGGCTGTGATTGCCTCTGGGTAATCTGGGGGTGATTTATGAGATGATTTTCTTTCAGAAATAAATACCAAATCATGCTGATGATGTTTTTGCTTCTCTCTCTCTCCAATCCCTCCCCTTTTTCAGATTTATCACAGTCCCATCACGAAGCAGGAAGAAAGTGAGTCACTTCTGTTGCTGTTCTTTGGGCTCTCACAGCCTCAAGGCCAGGCAGGATTTTCCTTGCAGATACACTCATCCTCAATTCCTGCTGAGTAGCACTGTCCCTGCTCTGTGACAGCAGTGTCACTTCTGTTCTTGTATCACAGGGTCTGGCATTGATCCCAGATCAGAATGAGTTGCACAGAGCTGCAGTGAGCAGTTTTTTATTTAGCCAAGAGTAGTGGGATGTGAAGTTCAATTTGCACCTCCAAACCCCAGCGAGAGATTCTGAGGATGTGTCCCTTAACAAAGGTTGTAATAGGTCAATAGAGGTGGCATTGAGTTCCCTGGATCTCCCACCATGTCCCGTGTCCCCCCTCTCAGCAGTGGGGTGTACCCTGCAGAGCCCTGGAACCCCTCTGGGGCTCTGTTAGCTGGGTGAAACCTGCGTTCTGTCTCAGAGGTCACTTCATCATCACTGTCATTAGTTGGCTATAATGAGCACAGGGGGAGCATTCCCAGAAGCACGAGCACAAACCTGCTGTGTGGCCATGTTCACATCACACACTGGGAAGAATGTGAATTAGTGTTTCACTGAATAAACATTCTCTATTTATCATAGATTAGAGCTGGTAAGAATTCCAGTGGTATCAAGCACCAGGTGGGTCTGTGCTTATTCCTGAGGCAGGGCTAAGAGATGTCTGAGCTTGATATTGCTGTTGCTCAGAGCAGACAGAATCAGTATAAACAACCTGCTGAAAATTCAGGAATCCCATAGGATTCCCCAGCTCAGTAGAGCAAGTCCTGTGCTCAGCTTTCCTCAGCACATCAAGCTGGATTGGCTTTGCTTTTTAATCCTAGTGATGTAGAGAAGCAGAAATTACACAGTCCCATGATGAGGAAGAGCTTTAACTACAGATTTTGCTCTGGAAGTGATTATTCAAGTCTTTATCAGGCACAATCTAAATGATTTACACTATTATTAAACCAATTTACACTTGTTATTATTAAAGACAGAGAGGGGGCAGGGAGCAGTGCTACAATTCAAAATAAATTTGAGGAAAAATGAGAGAACATATGGAACTAATAACCCCTTGTCAGGATGTCCAGAATGCTGGTGTTTCCTGAGGGGGTAGGGATGGCAGTGCAGGGAACACTCTGTGTGCTGGGGCACTGCAGCTCTGGGTGCTGAGAAGGGCTGGGGGGTTCCAGGGGTCTCCAGGAGTGCTCAGGCAGCTAACACAGTTTCTTTGTCCAAAACAGTGGAGCTGAACGAGGTGGGCTTCAAGTTTGTTCGGAAGTGCATCAATGCAGTGGAGACCAAAGGTGAGGAGCTCACCCTGCCTGGCCATGCTTCCCATGGCCTTAAAATACTGTAGTTCCTGCAGCACAGTGTTAGCCACTGACACAGGATTCAGCTTTTAGCTGAGGAATGTGTGTTCTTTGGGAGCAGAAATCTCACCTGGTTCAGAACAAGTCGGTTGGGGTTGAACTTCCACCTTGATGCTGTTTTCACTCGTGGTTTTGTCAGTTTTGGCCCTGAGCACAGCCCCTGTTGGGCAGGAGAGCAGCTCTGGCAGCAGGGCTGAGGGGTGGCTACAGGCTGCCTCAGCCCCAGCCTGTGAAGCAGCAGAAGCAGCTGGAAGGGTGGCAGCTCATCCTTTGGGCTGTCACATATCAACCAGCCTGCACCAGTGAACAGCACCAATGTGGGATGGGGGCCTGGATTCATCTCCAAGACCCTGCTCACAGAGCTAGGAGAGACACTGATTCTGCCTGTCCCAGCACTGGTCAGTGTTTGCAGATTCTATTTCAATGTGTTTGAGCAAATCCATGATAAAGCAGCACCCCACAGAAATGGGGTGTGTGGGCTGGTGTGTCCCACACCCTGGCTGGGCTCACCTCACCATGACACGGTGACCAGGGTGGTGCTGGTGGCCTCGGCTGCTGGGGTGAGCAGAGCCCTGCCAGCAGAGCCTGGGGAGTGGGACAGAACCTGGGATGTGGGACAGAACCCGGGATATGGGACAGAACCCGGGATATGGGACAGAACCCGGGATGTGGGACAGAACCCAGGATATGGGACAAAACCCAGGGTGCGGGACAGAGCTCAGGATATGGGACAGAAGCCGGGGAGTGGGACAGAGCCCACAGCAGGAAAACAATTCCACTAGATGGGGCTTTTGCACCAACAGCAGGAATCCTCGGTTAACACTCTTGGCTTTGTCCTCTTAGGAATCACTACGGAGGGCGTGTACCGGACTGTTGGCAGCAATATCCAGGTGCAGAAGTTACTGAATGCCTTTTTTGGTAAGAATTAATTATTCTGTGCAATTACACTGTCTTGTTCTTGAATTGTTTGTGAGGGACAGAGAGGATCGGGTTTCACAGTGAGAAATGCCCAGCGTGGGTTTTGGTCCCCGTGACCCCTCTGAGCTCATCTTCCTCTTCTTTCCTGGGATAACACCATGAGCTGGGCTGGGGAGGTGGCCTTTGCAGGGAGCCCTCCACCCCAGTGTAAGGATTTTTTTCTGGAAGGATGGGGACACCTTGCTGTGTGCAGCGTGTACAATAAGGAGCCAATGTACGTGTTAAGAAGCCAGTGGATGTTTTCCTGCTGGGAGCCTGCCTGTGGCTGGATCTGTCTGCCATACAAGCTTAGCAACTGGGCAGTGTTTATAGTCTTGGCAGGTCGTGGGGCTCAGCAGCTCTGCTTTGTGCTGGGACAGGCCCTTCTAGACTGGGTCTCGGCTGAGGCCATCATACCCTTACTTCAAAATCACCTGTGAGCCTCTCAGGGGACCTCTGGGGTCAATCCCCACCTGCCCAAGGCCAAACCATTCTCCCCAGCCCTGCCCGGGGCTGGAGCACAGGGCAGGGATTGCATTCACCTCACTGCCTGCGTGCCTCAGGCTCACGCCATCTCAGACATCTGATATTAATGCAGCATTCAAAGGATTTGGCTGTTTCCTATTGCTTCTACTCGGGATGTTGTTTATTAAAACCATGGTTTGTACTGGTGTCTGGCTATGCCCAGTTCTCACAGAGCCATGACTTCGGGCCTCTGCCCAGCTCCACTAGCCTATGACTCATTGCTGAGGTTCTATTGCTGCTTGATTCTCACCCTCCCTGTGAGCAGCTCTGTGGTTTTCTCCTCTGAATCCCACCAGTGAATGGCTTTTTATTTTGTTTATCTGCATGGGTCTGGGTAACCACTTGTCACCCCACTGCATATGAAAGCACAATGGAAGGTCCAACACCACAGAAATAACTGCTGCAGCAGGATTTCATCTTTAACAATTAGACAGAGATAATTTTCTTTTTAGTGCCTAGTCCTATTTATTTTCAAAAATAAATCCTACTGTTTATTTCTGTAGTCCAGCTTTCCCCCATGCTACAACTACATCCTTCACTTCATGGTGCCACAGACATGATGTGGTTTATCAGGGGAGGTAGGCAGGAGCAAATTGTTGTTCCATGCTGCTGTGCCTCCCCTGAGCTCCCTCCTCTCTGTGCAGCAAGAGGAAATGCTTCCAGAACAGCCTTCAGGGGAGTAGCTGCAAATGAGCTATTGGAGCTGGCATTCAGATTACTTTGGATGTGAGAAAGCTTGTCTTGGACCTGTTGAAATGTGTTGTTTCTGCCAGCCTTGGGAAAAAATAAACTCTACAGAATATGATCTCAGTGACTTCGCAGTACTGCCTAAATTTTACCTTATGCTTCCCTCTTTGTCCCTCATTAGCATCACTCCCCAGCCTCTCCAAAATCCTGACACTGGTGCTGTTTTCTGCTTTTCCCAGACATGGGAATTAGGAGCTCTCTTTGTGTGCTGCTGTGGCTTCATGTGTCTCGAGGGGAAACCCTCACCCCAAGCAGGCTGTTTATTAGCAACCTCTAAGTGGACTTTATTCTAAAACCTTTTCATTATTTTTCCAGATCCAAAATGCCCTGGGGATGTGGATCTCCAGAGTGGGGACTGGGACATCAAGACCATTACCAGCTCACTGAAGTTCTATCTCAGGTAGCACTGCAGGTCACACCTGCCCCAAGGAGGCAAAGGGGACTGGGGCTGATCCAGATGAAAGGTGAAATGAGCTGCCAGATATTCGGATGTGGCTGTTGGAAAGGGCAAAGTGACAAAGGCTTTGGGAAGAGGAATGATAAATTTGGGTGTTGCAGAACCCCTCAATCCTGTGGGGAGGGCTGTTTCACTGATACTGACTGCAGAGGGAAATGCCACTGGGACTGGGTGGCACTGAGGGATGAGCCAGTTTGCCTGTCCATCCAGGGTGGGTCATGAGTGGGTCACAATGCCGTGCAGAGCTCAGCTTTCTTTCTGGTTGTTGCAGGAACCTGTCTGAACCCGTCATGACGTACAAGCTCCACAAAGAGCTGGTCCTGGCTGCCAGTAAGTCCCACAGCTTCCCCACTGATGGTCCCTGGCCCTGCTCTCCCCAGTCAGGGTCCATCAAAATCCCTTGGCAGAGCTCTGCCAGCCCAGCTCCGTGGGTCTGGCTGCTTCACCTCCTCCAGGTGTTTCTCTGTGCAGGGGATGTGGTGCTGAATGTTCCTTTCCCTCCTTTGCTGCTGCAGTGCCCCTCCCTCAGACAGGGTCTTGTGCTCTCGAGGGGTCTGGACAGCCAGAGGATGTCCCTCCCTGGAAAGCAGCACAAGTCTGCCACAAGAATTGTTTCCCCCTAGTATTGATATGTTTTATAACCTGTGAGGGAATGGGATGTGTTGTTGCCACTTACATAAGTAGGTGTTCCCTTCAAGTTGTGACATTTGTCCTGGGATGTTGAAAACAGAGTGTCTGCCAGTACATGGAACACATTTCTCTGCTGTGGCTGTTAGGATTGAGTCACAATTGGGAAAAACAGAGGTTATTCAGCCAAGAAGCACAAGTGTAGTGCCAGGGCTTCACCTGTGCTGAGCCAGCCCATCCTTGGCTGTCACCTCGTTGTGGCCATTGCAGATAAGCTGTGCCAGCTGTGAGCCAGTGCCCTATGAGGGAGACAGGGATGCAGGGAGCTGGTCATCACCCTCAGCATGGGTGTGCTGGCATTTGGAAATGTGTGGCATTAGAGCATCCCTCAACCTGCTGTGCCTCCAGAAGTCACCAGGAGACTGGGAGGGTGCCCAGTTTTTCTTCATGTGTCCCTCTGGAGAATGAATAACACCAGTTCTTTCTTGGAAAGGGAAATGTTCCACCACTTGCTGAAGGTGCTTAAGCCCAGGATTTATTAGTTTCAGAGATGGTTAAGCCCATGATGGCTGGGTGTGTGCAGCACATTTATCCCTTCCCTGCCCTCCTCAGAAACTTGCACCATTGAGCTTCCCAGCCACTCAGACACCACACCATTCTTTTCACACTGAGTATTTTATTGTTTCCTGATTATTTATTCTTCTAAGGGTGACCTCTTTGGGTCATGGACTCAGTTTTTTTCCCTGCAGGACATTTTAGGTGTTGTTCAGTGTCAGAGCTCTCGGGGCTGATAGGACTCCCAGAGGGAGGCTGTGTGCTCCCAGGTGTGTGGAACAAGGGTGTGAAGGGGAGGACCTGCCCATGCTCAGCCTCTTTTGGAGAGTGTCCCTGGGCTCCCTTTCAAGCTCCATTTCTTCCTCTTTCCATTTCATATTGTTTCTCCCAGTGTTCACCCTGTTGCTGTGAAATCTCACTTCCCTCTCCTCCCTTTCGCTCCCATGCTGCACAGGGAACAGCTTCCACAGGTTTCCTTTGGCTTTATATTTCCCTGGAGTATTTACTTTGAAAGTGTTGGGTACAAATTCTTTGTGTTCCTGCTTTCCAGAGTCTGAGAACCTGGATTACAGGCTGGGAGCCATTCATGCACTGGTCTATAAACTGCCTGACAAGAACAGGGAGATGTTAGAACTCCTCATCCAGCACCTTGTCAAGTAAGCAGATGTTTTCCTCTAAAAATAAAAAAAAGGGGGATAATGGAATCAGCAGAACAAGCCTTTTTGGGAGGTTAGGTTTGCTAGATTTTACCCACTGTAGTTCCCTTGGGAATTTCCATATGAATTGCACAAAGGGGGTGACTACCCTTGCTGCCTTCTGCACGAAATGATGCTTCTCTTTCTGGTTGCTCCTTTAATTCCCTTTCAGACATGCACAGAGCAAGAAATTATTTAAAAAGGAAAATACTCTCAGAGAGCAGGGGCTGTAAATTGTCACTCCTCAGAAATTTATTGGAAACCACCATAGTGTGCTCCCTATATTCAGTTCTCTTCCTTCAAAGAGAGAGAAAATTAAAGCCAGAAGTCAGTTCTGGATAAAAAGGATATAGGATCTGATTCCTTTTGTGCATATGTTGTGCAGATAACTTTTGATTGCAGAGTTAAAGAGGAGTTGGGAATGGGAAGAGATGAAATAAAGATGCTGTCAGCACGTTGCTCTCTCCAGCATCTGTCTGAGCCAAATGTTTGTGTCAGAGCTAGAGCCATGTTTGTCTCTGCTGGGAAACAAATTCTGACACACAATGAAGAAAATTGAATGGCTAAATAAACTAAAAATTATCCTGGATTTGGGTTTTTTTTTTTTTTGGTTGGTTGGTTGTTTTCTTTTTCTTGGAATAAGACGTGTTTGGAAAAAAACAAACCAATCTCTGCTCCTCCTTCCCCTGCTCTCTGCAGCGTCTGCGAGCACAGCCGGGAGAATCTGATGTCCCCGTCCAACATGGGGGTGATCTTCGGGCCCACCCTCATGCGAGCACAGGAGGACACTGTGGCAGCCATGATGAACATCAAGTTCCAAAACATCGTGGTCGAGATCCTGATAGAGCACTTTGGGAAGGTACGGGGCAGCCCCGAGCAGCTCCTGCACACTGTTGCTGTGGCAACACGGCAGCGCTCCGGCTCCTTCTGGAGTCTCCTTGGGCTCCGTTTATGTAACTCGCTGCTCTGAAAGGCTTCAGGAGCAAGCAAAGAGCAGCAGGTTGGTTCCTCTCTGTTGCTGTTATCTGGTCCCAGAGGAAACAGAGAGTCTGGGCATTTTTGCCTTTTAAATACGGGGAAGCTTGGTTGTAAAAGAACCCTATTGTATGACTGGACATTACAGAGCTTCACTCTTTACCTTGCTAGACAGGGGCTAGACCAGAGCAGAATTGGTTTTAATGGGTACAGTGGAAGTATTAGTGGAAGAAACCTAGAGCAGACAAGTGTGGAATGGTTGATGAAAGTAATTCAGCTGTGGTTGTGTTCAGGTAGAGATACAGGGATGGTGTGGAGATGGTTTGGGGAGTCTGAAGGAGCTGCTGCCTGGGGTGGAGCAGTTGGAGGAGCTGAGGCTGCTCCCCACTCTAACGGGACCGAGAGCCTCCAGTCTCCTCTGCCTTCCATGATCTGCACTGGGTATTTCATATTTCAGCCTTAGCATCGCCCATGTGCCCAGCCAGGTCCTGGGGTGGAGATGCATGTGCAGACAGCAGCTTTGTCATGTGGAGTCGTGTCTTTGGAAAGCAGAATATTCCCCTGTGTCTGTGCTCACTTGCTCTCAGCGATAGCTGACACCAGCTCAGGGGTGTCAGGTGGCTGGGGGATGACAGGAGCTGGGTGTTAATATTGAAAGCTGCAGCAGCATTTGCATCCAGAGCAGCAGATCCCGAGCAGGGAGCAGATTAACGCCCTGGTAACAGCCCTGGGCTCCAAGGAGCGAGTTTGCTCCTCCAGCTTTTCACAGCAGAGACCACAGGCACCTCTCTCGTGCCTTAGGAGCAGGAAGTGCATGGAGCTGTTCATTCAGGGATGCTCTTTGCTGTGAGGGGCTGGGGCAGCTCCCAGCGTACAGGGCAGCACATGGGCAGGGGCAAAGCTCCCTTTGGAAAGGGAAGAGGCAGCCAAAGGTGGAACAGCAAGGTTCTTGAAACAGGGATTTGGAGCCAGAGCAACCAGGTGGGGACTACACGGGGACCAGGTGAGGGGGTGGGAGTCAGCTGTGATGGCAAGGATTGAAATGGGAGGAAAGAGCTCAGAGAGGCTTCTGAGTACCCATGCCAGGAGCTCATGGAAACACAAGCCAATTCCTTTGTAGGTCTCTATGAACACTTGTAATAAGGTCCCACAGAAAAACAGAGACTGGTTTGTGTCTGGGATCTCACATGCTCTCTCCAGAGATGAGGCTCTGTGCTCTCCTTACAGCCTGCGGCACAGTCTGAATCAACACACCCCACCACTTCTGAGAGCTGGGACGACAGCTTTAATTAAGCCAGATGTCCTTTTGCTTGCTTTTAATTTCTCCAGCAATAAAGTTAAGTTAGTCACATTTATTGAATTGAGTGTGTAAGTTTGGCGTTGGAGCTGAGAGTGTCTTCACACATGAGCAAACAGCTCAGATCAGTCTTGGAGGAAGAGAGGATGTGGGTTGTGTGGTGCAGTCTGAAGACTCTGAGGACAAAGTAACTATTCATGAAGTGTTTGTGGATAATTGCTGTTTCCACAGCTCATGTTTCAATGCCGTGCGGGGTTAAAATAAATAGGTTGATTGTTCTGGAAACACCTTCTTCTCTGTACAAACCTCCTTAAGGTGAGGGTCTGTCAATATCTTGGTACCTTTAGGTTATTTAATTTGGATTTTCAATTAGAAGTAAATCAGAGCTGCACCCACCTCTTAAACGCAGTCATTTGTGGTGGTTTAGCTTGGGTTTCAGGTGTTGAAAACACCTGAAAAGTATTCTTTGGTACCTGTAAAAGTGTCCATGGGGAGCTTACTGTTTCTTTAAAAAGCAGGATTGGATTTTGCTCGGGATATAGGGATGAGGTTAATATTTCCAAAAAATTTCTCTCCCACAGGCAATCCTTTGCAGTTTTAATAATACACAAGCTGCTGCTTTTAATTCATGTGCTGCTGTGTCACAGCAAGAGAGTGCTCCAAACCTTGTGTTTTGGGGAGAGGAACATGTCTTGGCCATGCCCAGGGCAGAGCCCAGCAGGCAGTGAGCCAGCACCCGCTCTGTATCACCAAACCCTGAGTGTGGGGTTTTTTTTCCCAGAGTTGGATTGTAATCTTTCCTCACTAGAGATATTCCAGAACTGTCTGGACACAATCCTGTGCCATTTGCTTTAGGGAAACCCTGCTTGAGCAGGGAGGGTGGACCAGGTGTCCCACTGTAGGCCCTTCCAGCCTGAACTATCTTGTGATTCTGTGTTATTCCTCCTCTCCTTGTGCAGAGTGGGCCAGGCTGTTGGGAGCAAAGCCTGGTCCTAGCATATGGATTTACCCAAAGGCAGCCCAGGCTGGGCCAGAGCAGCCTGACTGTGGGGTATGGGGAGCTGTCTGCCACACTTGGGTCCAAGGAGTTTAAACAAGGGACATGTTTTCCTCCCCCATCCCCCATCTTGGTCTCCTAGCCCTGCTCTTTGGTCCAAAGAAGAAGGAATATACTTTTGGTTTGAATTACCAAAATGAGGCACTTAATCAAAGCGGAATGTTACATTTCTTCACGTTGATGTTTTTCTGGGTAATTCAATAAAGTTTTTCCATATTGAAGTGTGACCCAGCATCCTGGTGGGGCTGGCACAGCTCTCCTTCTCTGTGGAGCCAGGAAGGGACCAACTCCACATCTCCCAGGATAGGCAGTGCAGCCTCTGGGCTCAGCAGCTCAGTCCACCTCCCCATAGTAACTCAGGCTTTAAAGCCTGATAAAACTTCAGTTAACATCCCTGGGAAGAACACAGGAGCAGCTGCTTTGGGCCTTGATATGGTATTTCAGATCTTCAGATGTATTTCTTTTTCAGCTCTTAAAAAAAAAGCCCTGACATTAATGAGAACCTCTCAATTAATCCCAACCAAATAGGTGCCACATGACCAGTGAGAAAATTATATTAAACTTCTCAGTAGCATTTTTTTTTATGCCAGTATTTCCTCCCAGGCAATTTCCTTGTGCCAAATGCATCACTGTAAGCCAAGAGCTGAAGGGTTTTAGTGTTAGATCTGAAACAATGCAGGGTTGGTTTGGGTGCTTTGGGGATTGTATCTCTTTGACCATGGGAATCTTGATGTTGGTCAGGGTCTGTCAGCTCCAAAGCTTCAAAGCCTCCCTCATCTGCTCCAGGGGAATTTGCTTCTACAAATTGTGTTTTGATCTGTGTTTACTGTGCTGAGAAAAGACAGCAACACACACGGACCTCTTTTGGGGAAAAAAGGCCAACTTTATTGTACAGACATCCCGTATTTAAAGTGTTATGTGCAGCTAGGACAGGACAGTAGTTCATTGGACAATTGGGACAAACATCCCCTGGGACAGCATGTCCGGATGTCCCACGGGAAAGACACCAAGTGTTAATCTTTATTATGAATTCCCTTCTGTTTTTCACCAAGTTACCACTCTGGGAGACTGCCTCCCTTAACTGAAGCTATAGTCAGCTTGTCAGCCTGGGAATGGACCTGAGAGACAGGAGAAATCCAGGCCTGAAAGGAATTGCCAAGCTGTAATTTCCTAGCTCTCTAAATGCGTGTGTCCACAGTGATCTACATGCTGAGCCATGGGGACGGCATCATCAGTGGTGGGGACACAGTGTCAGTGGTGGGGATGGTGCCATGGTGGGGACAGTGTCAGTGGTGGGGATGATGCCATGGTGGGGATGGTGCTGTGGTGGAGACAGTGTCAGTGGTGGGGATGGTGCCATGATGGGGACAGTGTCAGTGGTGGGGATGGTGTCAATGGTGGGGTCAGTGTCAGTGGTGTGGATGATGCCATGGTGGGGATGGTGCTGTGGTGGAGACAGTGTCAGTGGTGGGGATGGTGCCATGGTGGGGATGGTGCCATGGTGGAGACAGTGCCATGGTGGGGACAGTGTCAGTGGTGGGGATGGTGCCATGATGGTGACAGTGTCAGTTGTGGCCACCGTCCCCCTCTGTGCTGAGCAGGATCACCTGCAGCAGGAGGTGAAGCAGCAGCCCCTTTGTGTCGGGTCACCTGAACGTGTCTCCCTTTACAGATCTACTCTGGCCCCCCAGAAGACACCACAGCCCCCCCGGTGCCCCCACCCAGGGTGGCTGCCCGGCGGCACAAACCCATCACCATCTCCAAGCGTCCCCTGAGGGAAAGACCCGTCTTCTTCGGTGCCTCTGTGGAGGAGAGCACAGGTCAGTGTGGCTGTTCCTGCTTCCTGGAACACCTTTCCAGGAGCAATGGCAGTAACAGCAGCACGGCTGCACTTCCCGGGTCCTGGACACCACAGGCAGTGAGGGCTACTCAGAGAGAAGGGAAAGCAAAAAACACTCATACATTGGTTGCATCATGTCACATGTCACATGTCACAAGACTTTGTGGGATTTGGGGTTTTCTGGTAACTGCTGCATTCTCCATTAATGAAACTAAGGCTGGTTCTTAGTTTCTGGGCCAGAAGACGCCCAGAGGAGAGGTTTTGTGGCATAAGAGGCAAAAAAGCTGCATGGAGTGTTGGTGGGATGGTAGCCAAAGGGCTGTGCTGCAGGAGACCCAAGGAGGTCTCAAGCTGGCTCAGCTGCTGGCTGTTCCACATCCAGAGCAAGAGCTCCAAAGAAATTTTCAGGATGCAGTGAAGGTGTTTTCTAGGCCAAGTTCTACTCTGACATTATGTTAAGGGCTTCAGCATTTCCTTGCAGTCAGCTCGATTAACAGCTAAGGGCACATCAGCTTAAAATCATATTTCTGCACCTGATTTGCTCTAATTGTCACTGCAGGCTGTGCCCTGATTCCACAGTCACCAAAGAGATGGAAAGTCTCTTTCTCCATTAGTTTTCAGAGCTCTGATGATGTTTAAGTGCAAAGTGCACTTTGTGACACTGATAAAACATGACTGATTCACACCACTCTTTAAAACTCCCAAACTGCTAATGGAGTTGGGGCTGGCCTTGCATTTCAGTGCTTCTCCTGGGACCTGGGAGCAGAAGTTCTGCCTTGGACTGCTGCAGGGAGCACTCGGGTTCATAGCAGAGCTCCTGCTCCTGGTCTGTAGCACAGCAGGAGGGGTGGCACTTCTGGAGGCACATCAACACTAACCCCGCGGCTCTCTGTTCCTGTCTCCACAGCGGAGAGGCTCAGCCAGACCCCCAATGGTGGCAGCGTGGAGGTCCCCAAGCCCCTGCACCGCAGCCGCCTGCCCGCACCCCGGCCAGGGGGGGACGAGCCAGGGCGTCCCCCCACTGAGAACCGGCCCCAGGCACGCACTGAGCCCGAGCTGGGCAAGCTGGGGAGCAGGCTGCAGGACGGAGGGGTGAAGCCAGCTGGCAGGGCAGCCAACGGGGTGGTGACCAGCCCTGCCCTGAGGACTGCCACGCTGCAGGCCAGGAGACCGGCACCCCGGCCGGGCATGGGCGGCAGAGAGGGTGAGTGTGCACCAGAGCCGGGCAGGAGTGCCCTGCTCCCAGGACAAGCCTGAGGTGCTGAGTCCACCCTCCCTGGGCCAGCTGGTGGGCTTCTCCCCTTGAGTCCTCTCGATGTAGCTCAGCAGGAGGGGCTGGGAGACCAGAACAGCCTAAGGCGTAGGCACAGGTAAAGTCTGACACTCATTCATTGTTGACTTGACTCTTAAAGACTTTGAAGGGTTAAGTGAATAGCAAGGTGGGCTGGATCCTGGGGAAGAAAAGCAGCCGAGGAGAGGACAGGTAGTGTCACTGTCCAGGATGAAAGCTCAGCCACAGGAATCATCAGTTTGTGCTGCTCTTCTCCCTTTCACAGAGCAGCACTGCACAGGGTTTGGTTAAGAACACTTATCGTTCCCAGGAAGTATCAGCTTCACAGCCAGCAACTACACTGAGTTTGTCCTTGCAGGTCCTGCTCCATCCCCTGTTCCAGGAAGGCTGTTCTGGGGCAGGTAGTGTGGGAACTTCCTTTCCCTGGATCTGTCCCTCCATTCTGTCTATTGGCCACTGTCAGTGAGAGAGTGTTGAGGCAGAGGGACAGAACTAAACCCGCAGACCTGTTCAGTGCCCCTTCATAAATATGTGGCCTCTGCCAGAGCTTCCTGCTCAGTGTTTATCATCTCCATCCCTCAGGTGACTGTGACGGTGTCCCTAAGCCACGTTCCCATGGTGATAAGCCCGTGATAACGCGTCCCCCTGTGAGACCTCCAGATCCACCGTGCCGGACTCCCATCCCTCCAAAGCTGGAACAGAGGCCAGATCTGATAGCAGGGACAGCAGAGGACATGCCCTCATCTGTGTAAGCCAGCAGCTGTGGTGGGTGCATGGTGCTGGTGGGGACACCTGGGCGCTCAGTGGCACCTGTGGATGTCCCCTTGGCACCGGTGCAAGTGCAGATTTGAGTGTCACTTGGAAAGCTGAGCAGAGGGCACGGCCAGGGAGGGGACTGGGGCCACAATGAAGGCAAACACAAAGCTTTGGAGCACAGCCCCAGGGCTGTACCATCCCCTTCCCTGCTGCTCCTGAGTTGGTGGAGCTCAGCCCCTCCCTGCCTGTCCCCAGCAAACCAGACACTTTCTGAGGCAGGACAAGATCCAGCTTGGATCTTCTTCAGAAAACTGAATGGAGTTCAGCTTCATCTCATCCTCAGATTTCTTTCTGATTTTAAAGCCCGCTGGCTTTAGTGGGAATTAACTGAAAGAAAGCAAAAGGTGCCATGAGGGTCAACTCTGTGCCTAAATTACCTGGGAGAACTTCTCTTTCTTGAGCATGGGTGGGAGCACATAAACACTGAAGGGAAGACCATAAAGGGGATGGATGCACATAGGATTATCGCCAAGAGCACGGAAATCATTACTGGATGTGGCACTCAGTGCTGTGGTTTAATTGGTGTGGTGGTGTTTGACGCCATGATCTTGGAGCTCTTTCCCAGGCTAAATGATTCCATGGTTCTATAAGCAGCCCAGCCAGAGTGCTGGCAGATGATGTGAGGGTGGAGCAGGCTCAGAAGGAGCCCAGCTATGCTTTGGCAGAAGATCTGTCAATTGGAGGTGATCTCTGCGGTTCTGCCAATGCTGCAGCTCATTCCCCTGGCACGGAGCAGATCTCATTATCAAATTGCCAGGTCAAATTAAAAGAGAGACTTCTCCTGTTTTATCTGCAGGGTGGCCTCTAGGACCAAATTCTTTGAGACAGCTTCCCGAAGAACAGGCAGGTAAGGCTGGCAGGGGGAAGGTGGCACGTAGGTAGCAGCAGCCCTGCAGCACAGGGTGCTCCCTCTGAGGCAGAGCCAGCACAGACAGCCCCAGCCCCAGGCCTGCCCTGTCTCACCCTCACAAACAGCAGATGGGGCTCAGCTAAAATGCTGAGACTAAACAAAGAGCACAAAGTGTAAAATGTGAGTCCAGATACAGACTTGGTAAGTTAAATCTGCCAAGTGAGAAACATCCCTGAGGATCCCTGTTACTGCGTGGTGTAGTACCTGTTGTACTCAGGCTTTGTGAAAGGATCAGGTCGTGGGTGAGGTGATGAGGGCTGGTTAGGTCCCAGCAGCTGCTGAGAGAGCATGGCTGGTCCAGCACAGGGGGTGTGCAGACAGGGAGCTGGGAGGTTATGGGGACACAGCGTGGACACCAAAGCCCTCGGCTCTGAGTGGCAGCAAGTGCCATTTGTGATATTTGCCCAAATAAGCCTCAGCTTCCTGCTCTGAAAAGCTGCCAACCTCTGCCCAAGGGAGAGCAGGTTTGTGTGTAAGTCTGAGAACTGCTGCTGCTGGTACTGAGAGAGAAAACATTTGTTCTATTGCCAGACAGACCTCTCCCTGTCCATTACCCAGCCTTGAGGAGCTTGTGGAGCTGAGCTGGAGCTTGCTCCTTGCACTCATTTTTTTCTCTATTCTTGTACTTCCTTTTATCCAGTTCTTCATCGCCACAAGGCAGGATTCCAATTGATGAGAGCTGAGGACAAAGGTACGTTTTTATACCAACAAATCAAATAATAAACTGAAAGCAGACATGTAATACAAAGTCAGCAGTTATGGGGTTGTGGGAGTCCAGTGGTTCTGCCATTACTGGTGGATTTGCACTGCTGCACAGAACATGAAGCTTGTTTTCTTCTCCCAGGCTTTGTAAGCACACCTCAGCCCAGCTGGACCCAGGAGACTTTCTGTGCTTGTGACCCAGGAGTCAGAGCTGAGCCTTGCCAGCCCCAGTGCCCTGGAGAGCAGCTGTCTTACCAGACGATGATTTCCGAGCCACAAGTGGCTCAAGAAATTAAGAGAAGGAGACCACGATGGAGAGCAGGTCCTGCCCACACATGTGTGTTGAACTGTTCCCTGCCCTCCCACTTCTCCTCCCTGCAGGCTGTGACAGTGCCAGTGTGTGCCTGCACAGCTGATGGCAGCATGGGCAGGGCTGGGGACACGGACCGCCTGCTCACCTGCTCATTTTTGGGAAACACACCTTGAAAAGGGTGTTTGGACAGCACAAGGGCTGAGTCCCCGTGTTTGGATGCAAGGGCAAAACAGCTGCAGTCCCTCCTTGCCCTGAGAAGCGCCTTCCTTTGTGCTCGTGTTCCTCACTTGGTGAATGTCAGTGTGTGGGACAGCCATGCCTGGTGACGCTGCCCATGGTGACACAGGCTGGGCAGGGACAGGGGAACCACTGTGCTCAGCTCTGTGGGATGTCTCCTCATCTCCTCATCTCCTCCTGAACACCCCTGGCCTGGAACACCGCGTGACAGACACAGCTTGGCCAGGGGCTTGGCCTGAGCCATGGCCACAGCCTTACCTGGGGTCAGCTCTCAGGCAGCACCCTCAGGTCAGCAGCCTCCAAGGGTGCAGCTGGGGGAAGGGAGCAGCAGGTGCTCCTCTTCCTCCACTGCCTCCTCTTCCATGTGAGCCACACTCCCACCAGATCCACTTCTCACAGGCCCACCAAGAAGTCTCCATCCTGGGTGATTGTGGTGGCCAGCACAGAGGTGCTGAGGATCTGAAACTCACTGTTCGTGGGTCAAACCCATTGGTTTTTTTAGAACTTCCCAGTTTCTCGTTTGCTTGTTTATTCATTTCCAGTACAAAATGCCCTGTCTTTCCCTCAGCCATGGCCCTGTGGATGATGTCCCTTGGCCTGGGAGATGTCCCTGGCCAGGACCTCTGTAGCAGTAGAGGTTTGTCTTTGCTCCAGCTGCCACCAGGGCCCAGCTCCAGGCTGTGCTGCTTCCCCTCTTCCTCCACCTTCCCAAAGATGACTCTCCCCTTTTGAATGGTTTTCTTTAGGCACTGAAAGCATTTGCAAAACAGTGGCCAAACATTCCCACAGCTGCTTCCCAGGTGCTCCATGCCTTGAGCGTGCTGTGTCCTGCCTGGAGCAGGTCCTTCCCACCTCCTGGCACTGCCTGTGTGACCTCGTGTCTCTTATTGCTGAATGGCACACACCGGCGCTCACGTGTGTCATGTCCATGGTGCTCTCACTCCCTTGGCTTCAGCACTGCTCCCTCCTTTAGACCTGGCAATGAAAGTGGCTTTAAACCCAAACCAGCCCTGTGCTGTGGCAGTTGAGGCTGTGCCACATCTGGCAGCACCTGGGGCTGTGCTGGGTCCCTCTTGCTGCAGCCCCTCAGCAGGGGCTCAAGGACAAGGCACAGTGGGTCTGATCAGGGATCTCTGAACAGGTGGGATGAACCTGAAGCTGGAGCAATCTGCTCTGACCAGCCTGGCAGTGGGGCCACCTGCCTGCAGCACATCAGCCCCTGGCCCCCTTGGGGTGTTGTGCGTGTGGCTCCCACACAAAACGCCAGCATTTCCCAACTTTTTCTTGCTTTGGGCTGATGTTTGGAGACCTCTCGAGCCTGTCAGTTTGGGAAGCTCCTTGGGTTTTGCTGATGTGCACGGCTCTGGGGTGACATTCTGCAGGAGCAGTGGCTTGTCACATCCTCCTCCTGCTCGTGCCCACTGCCAGCACAGACCCCCAGGACAGAGCCAGGCTCCGTGGGTAAGGAGAATCCAGATGTGGTTGGGTTTCAGTCTGACAGTGTGAGCAGTGGGGAGAGGCAGCTTCTTGCAGACTATTTCATGGTGTCCTTTCAAAGTTTTTTGTCACTTGTGTGTCTGTGCTGATTTTTTTTTCTGCACCTGTGGGTGCAGCTGAACACTGGGGACCAGCAGTTGGTGGGGGATGCTGGTTGTGCTGGCAGGGGGCTGTGGGGTCCAATCCCTGGTGCCATGAGGCTCAGTCCCTGCTGCTGTGAGGCCCAATCCCTGCTGCTGTGAGCACAGTCCCTGCTGCCAGTGGCCCAGGAGTGACAGATCCCAGCTGGAAATGTGGGATCGCCATGTACAGCACAGCAGCCCCCCATCATCAGCCCTGGAGCCATTGTGATGTGTACAAGCTTAGGTTACTGCAAGTGTTTATAAAGTTCCCATGAAGTGAAAACAACCATCTCAGTGTGTTTTGTTCCTGCTCTGCCCCACTGCTGTCCCCTCTGCAGGGTCCAGCTCTGTGCCCTGGGGTGGCCACACAGGGCTGTGTCCATGGGACTGGCAGTGCCCTGGGTTCTGGCAGAGCCCCACTCCGGGTTTGCAGTCCCCAGTGCTGGTTTTCTGCATTTTTCTGACTGGAGAAGCTGCCCTGCCAAGGCTGAATACTCCTGCACTGCCACAGTACCTGGACAGCGTTCTGTGCCATGGGTCACTGAAACTCCAGTTTTCCTGTCACCACCAGTGGCTTTTTTCCATATATCCAGCACTGTTTTCCCCTCACATCTGTTTTCCCCCACCTTTTGATTCTAACATTGTGCACCAGTGATTGGTTTTTTAAGCAAGCCCTCTCTCAGGAGAGAACAGCTTCTCTCTCTGGCACGGGAATCTCACAGCCGGCTTTGGAGCCTGCATTTCTGGGGAAGCCTGAAGGAGGTGACAGCTCCAGAGGGTGTTCCTGGTGGCCTGGGGACAGCCAAGCTGCTCCCACAGCCACGAGGGTCCCCAGCTGGAGAAGGAGAGCATTCCCACCCACAGCCTGCTCAGAGCTGGTTGCTGCTTTCGGGATCCTCCTGCAGTTATTTTGTGCAGCTCAGCCCCTGCCTGCGGGCTCCTGGTGCAGCACTGGCCAGGTTTGCCAGCTCTGAGAGGTCTGTGCCATGCCCTGGTTCCCAGCCCGGGCAGCCAGAGCACTCCCAGGGCAGGCATGGACACAATGCACCTGGAGCAGCAGCTGGAGGGTTTCCTGCTTTGTTTTTTCTGGCTTCTCGTTTCTCTCAAAAGTTTCCTTGTGGGGGTGTAACTTTTCCAGGGCTGGATGTGTTCAAAACTGTTTTCTTTCCTCATTAGGCCTCGTATGAAGTGCTAATGAACTGGAGGCACTGCCCCAATAATCCTTGTCTCCCAACCCACAGGTGCCTGGCTTGCTTTCTTACAGAAAACATTTGGATTTAATATGAGCAAGAAAATTATTTTCCAGCACAAGTGAAACCTTTCAGGTTTTTATAGAGAGAAGATAACAAAACAAGCAGTTCCAAAGCTTGAGCCCGAGCCTCAGTAAGTTCTTCCCAGAGGAAGAATTTGAAGAGGCCCAAGACTCTGCAGCAGACACATCTGTGTGATAAATTTAGAATTGAAATATACTTAGTGGAGCACTGACATCTGAAATTTATGTGCTGCACAGAGACCCATGAAGGCGCCGGAATCCACCCACGTGGGAGTCCTTGGAGGATCAGAGCTGGAGTTTTCAGCTCTGTAGTTCTCCCTGACCCATCCCACTGCACCATTACCCATCTGGATGCTCCGAGCTGGGAGCAGCTCCCTGTGCTGGGCGGGTTCCTGGCAGCCCTTAGCAGGTTTCTTGGCCCGTACACATGGCTGTAAATCAGGTCAGGCCTCCAAAAAATCCTGTGATTGGCTTAAACAATCAGGAGATGCTTTGAACCCGTAAAGGCCATAATGTTTTCCATTTTCTGTGTTTTCAGAAGTTTAAGAAGTGCTTTAAGAGCCTCTGCCAGTGTCTCTTAAGAGTTCCTGCAAGGCAGACGTTCTGAAGGTTCTTGAAATCCTGTATAAAATGTGGCCGTGCCCACGAGGGCTCAGAGAGGCAAGTCCATCCTTCCCCCTCTGTGTCCTGCACACCCCAGCTCCCTTCAGTGCCTTGGCCCCACAGGCTCTCCTGGTGGCCACCACACCGTGCCACTGCAGCCACCCTGCTCCTGTGGGATGGGACACAGGGCATGGCATGCCAGGTATGCCCTGTTTGCCCTCCCCTTGGCACCTGCCCACAGCTGGCAAAGAGAGGCAGAGCAGGGTAAGGAGCAAACCCCAGTGCTGGCTGATGTCCCTCCTGTCACAGCACTCCAGGCAGTGTGACCCTCCCGAGGTCTGTGGCTGCCACTGGCTCGTCCTGGGAGCGTGGGCACAGCCCTGACACCACGGAAGGCACTCAGGGCTGGCTGCCAGCACAGCAGGGTCACACTGCTCCCTGGCCACAGGGAGGGGAACCACTGCTGAAAGAGCTATTTGACACAACTCGTGTCAAATTTTAGGAAATAGAACTTCTTTCTGTTTTAAAAATATCTCGCTTTTTGCCACGAGGACAAGAACAAATAAATGACTTTAAAGCATGGGGCCATTCTGGGGTTTTCATGATGTTTTCATGTTTTCAGTTGACTTCTTCATGGCAACTGGAGTTTTTCCTGTGAGCTTGGTGTGCTGCTCTGCCGGGGAGCCAAGGCAGCTCTAAGGGCAGCTCTGCTGGCATGTGGCTCATCCCCAGTGCTGGCATGGTGGCTGTCACCATGCTGCCAGTCAGGAATGGTCAGGGAGGTGAGCAGCTTCCCTGTGCCCTGCAGGTGCTGGTGAGCTGTGCAGGGGGGATGCAGGGTGCAGGGTGGGGGATGCAGGATGTGCAGCAGAGGTGGCTGGAGCATAATGGGGCAGGAGGAGTTGAGTGAGGTGAATTTGTCCTTCAGCTACTTCTGTCCCAGCAGCCCCAACCAGTGGCCTCACTGTGCTGCCACAGACACTGCTCAAGCCACACAAGTTTGGGGCCATCAGAGACCAGTGTAAGCCCAGGATGTGTAGCCACTGAGGGAGGGACCAAGTCCATCATCCCATGAAGTGCTGGACCAGTGGCTCCTGAATACTCCTGGGGACATTGGTGTCCAAGTGGCCATTTGGCAGGTGACAAGGGGGCTGACATGCTGGCAGGTACCCAATAACCCACCCCGAGGAACTGCAGCCTGCTCAGTGTCCGTTAAGGGTGAATTTTGAAAAGAACACATTAATTTTTCACTGTGACTCAGAGCAAGGGCTGGGACCAGGTTCCTTGCAGATGACAAACCCAAGAGTTGTTGTTCTCTTGGCACACTGTTCTTCAGCCCATGGGGCACGGTGTGTGGACTGCTGCTGTGCAATTACACATGAGGCATTGCCAGCTATTTGTGGCCCAATGAGTTTCTTGGTTTGTTTTGGTTTTTTTCCCCAAGCTCTTTGCTTTGTCTCCATGAATCAAATCTTGGCCCTGGGCAGGATTCACATCTGTGCCTTGAATTAAGTGGCTGATAAGCGTCTTCTTTATTACTTGGAGAGCATAGGTCAATTTTATAAAGACGTTCCAGAACAATGGATTTACTACTGTTCATAAAGATACCGAAAACAATGACAAGAGCAGGAGGACACTGGCCTTTATTAGCTCCTTGCTTTGAGAAATACATTAATCAACTGAAATTCAATTTAAAAGACCCAAAAAAGGAATATATGAAAGGATTAGCCAATTGATATGTAATTGAATTATGAGTTCAGATGTAATTAATTTAATTACGAATTCTGACTGTGAAAGGAAGCCTACAATGACCCAATGAACAGCCTCATCTACTGACAAATGACCCATGGATTCCCAGTGCCTTTGCTTGCTGGCAGCCATCACACCCACAGCGATTTCATGCACAAAAATCAACACAAAAGCCAAATGCAGGCAGAGGCTAGAGCTCCAGCAAACCGGATTCTGCATTTATTGGACTCAGAACAACAGCAGATTTTCAGGTTACAAAAAGAACTGAACAGCAAGCATGAAGGGCCACCCCGTGGCATGGCTGGGGGCTTGTGTGGGCCCCAGGCAGGGCTAAAACAGAAATGGGAATTTTCATTTACCCCCAGCACGGTGTCATTGGTTTCTTTACCTGGGTGCCAGGCAGGCCCCTCTCTTTGGTTACACAAATAAATGTCCTTCAGTCCCACAGGGGACTTGTGAGTTGCAGTTGTCCCCAGGGCATCCTGCACCCCAGTGGCCCCAGCAGCATCTGGTACCAGAACACTCTTGGGGCTCTCCCTTATCCAATGCATTCAGTTCCAATTAAAAAAATAGAAAATAAAAAACAAGAAAACAGCTGTGTCAGCAATCCACCAATTCCTTCTCTGGGAGAATTTACCCTCAGGTAATGCTATAATTTGGGCAAAGCACTGTGATTCCAAACTGGGCCAGACCAGGCTGTGTGTGCTGCACCTGCACCACGTGTTGTGGGGTCTCCAGGGTCACAGTCCCACCAAAATGGGGCCAAGGCATCCCCAGCATCATGCTCAGCCTCACCTTGGAGGCTCCAGGAAAGAACCAGAGAGACCCCAAAGTCTCTCTGCCATTCCAAGGCTGCTGGCTTTTTTTCTTCTGGCTTCTCTCTTTCCCCCTGCTCTGGTGGAAGGAGCAATTGCAGACACTGGCCTTTGTTACTCCCAGGAACATAGCTGTGGGCTGGGAGGCCTCCCCAGGCAAAAAGGCACCAGCAATGAGCTTTTTGGCTTATTACAAAGAAAGTAAAATATATCAAATAGAGAACTCTTATTATTACAGAGACATGTTAACAAAGAGAAACAGCATAAAATTTCCACAGAACACCAAATATCCGGCACAGAGAGCAGCTTTTATCCACTTGCTAAGGGTTTATGTGGGTGCAGAGATTTACTCTGTGAGTCACGAGCACAGTGTCCCCTTGCTGCTGAAGGGAATGAGCACAGGGAGCAGGTGCCAGTGGGCAAGGGAGGCTCTGACCCACCTGGAAGGACACCCTGCCTGCCCACAGCCAGCCCTGAGCCTGCAAACACAGACACTCTCTGTAGCCCCAGCATTCCGCCCGAATGTGAGGACATTTTGTGCAAGTCAAAGAGGGAAGAAACAAGGGACACCCTGTTGTTCCCCAAATGCAAACACTGTCCCTGTCTAAGCTCAAGAAGACGCAGGAAAGCTGGAGAAGCTGATACCAACCCCAGCCTATGCCAGTGTGTGCTCTGTGCATGCCACAAAGGGGGGGACTTCTGCAAACTGGGCAGCACCCAGCCAAAAAATAATTAAAAGTCTCCATTAAATTGGCACGTTCTGACTCATCTCCTGCAAAGCATCCAGTACCTCAGTGTGCAACCAGAGAGGACTCTTAGAGCATGTCACTAAATAGATATCTTTAGCAATAGAAAATGGGCCATGCCTTTATTTTATATAGAAATAGATAATTTTAGCATACATTATGTTATTGAAACATCCAGGGCAAGAGCTCAGCAAGGGGAGGGACACCAGGGGGACTGCAGGGCTGGCTGGTGCTGGGAGGTGACTGTGAGGGCTCTCGGGCTGGCTGGAGGCAGGTGACACCTGGTGACACCAGAATAGTCCTCAGCATTCCCTAGAGACCACAGTGACAACCCCACAGCCCAGAGCAAGGATGGGACTGCAGGGAGGGTCCTGCCCCAGCTCCACATCCCTCACCAAGCACCCTGTTCCCTGAGCCAAGCACCAAGGGCCTCTGGGACATGATGGCAGTGGCATGTGGATGCTGCCAGCTCTCCAGACTCAACACAGCCTCTCCAAGCAGAGAGCTGCTGGCCTGGCTCTTGCTCCTGCTGAGGCAGGGGGTGCTGGCAGGAGCCTGGCAGGCTCAGGTGGGCACAGGTCAGTGATCCCTGCCCTGGGAATGCTCCATGTCACTGCACCATTTGATCTGTCTCACTGCTGCTGGCATGACACAGGGCTGAGGAATCATCCCTCCTGCCCTCACTAAAGGCAGCATCCTTTATCCCACACCCTCTGTTATGGAATGGTGCCCATCCATGCACAAACACTGCTCCCAGGGAGATGCCAATGTCTGTATCCCTTGTCCTCTACCTGCTGCCTTGGGTTGAGCCAGACTGAGCCAGCTCAGAACCCCCCACACCTCTGAGATGAGCCAGAGCAGAGTCAGGGAATCCACAGGGAACGTGGAGATGTTTGGCTCTCAGCTGTGACACCCAGGGGATCCTCACTGCAGGGCTCAGCCAGCCCCAGGAGAGCCTCAGGGACAGCTTCTTTGGGACTCTGAACACGGTGAAATTCTCCTTGCTTTATTAAAGCAAAAGTAGACAAGAAAATGCAGAAGAAAACAAAAAGCATAAAGATAAATGGCAGGAGTTGGACTTTGGTATTTCTTAAAGCCTCTTCTTCCCCAGTTCCTGCAGCAGCTCATGAAAATCCACATGGAAACAGCATTAATTCCCCCAGTAAATACACACACAGGTGCTGCAAGTCCTGGCTCCCACATTTCCTGGTAATTATATTGTAGAAACACAACTTTTAAATGAACAAGTTGCAGAAGTTTACTGTGATACTGGAGAGACAGAGAACATGACCTCAATGCCCCTGACTGCCCCTCTGTCCTGGGCTGGGGGTGCTCCCCGTGAGCCCCTGCCCCTCTCAGCTCTCAGTGTCCAGAGCAGCTTCACACCAGGTGACACAGCCAGGGCAGGTGATACACGGGCAGAATCCTTCCCCTGCTCCCCCACTTCCCATTCACATGAGAAGCAGGGTGGGCAAATCCCCGCCAGGTTTGGCCTCTTTCCAGTCTCCCAGCAGATGAACGCCCAGCAGGACACTGCCACACTCATTAACCAACAAAACCTTTACTGCCACCAGCCTGTGTAAAGCACAAAGCTCTCCCAAATTGCTGTTCCAATTGCTTGGAGCCATCCCAAGCTGGTAACAGGGACTGGGATTCACCACTCATCTGCTCACTGAGCTCTGCTGTGAAGAACCAGGGAAATTTCCAGAAGACAGGGATGCACCAGCTGGAATTTTTACTGGTTCATTTGCAAATATCTGTAGCTCACATCAGGACTGAAAATGCCAGCAGCCCCCTGGCACAGGGGAGGCTCTAAGAGCAGTAACCCACTGGCTGCCAGCCAGGAAGCTCACCTATGGATTCTGCTGCTCCCTACATGAGAGGATTTCAGGAGGAGGAGCAGGATCAGAGCCATATTGAGCACAGGAAGGAAAACCATTGCAAAGAAAGATCCTCCCCTTCAATAGGGGCTTTTTCCCCACTCCTTCATATAATGAAAATCTCATCAAAAAATTGGAAAGTATCAGGGAAATTGTTTGTTTTACTCCAAGTATGTAAAGGAGCAGCTGCACCATGATGGAATTCCCTGGAAAGCAGGGCACAGGGTGGGCACAGGGTGGGCACAGGGCTCTGGGTGGGCTCACTGCCCTGGCAGGGTGCAGAGTTTGCTGTTTGTCTGTGCTGGCACAAGGATCCCTTGTAGATGTCTGGGTTGGTAATGGCAGACCATGTCACAGCCCATGATGGGATGTGTGACCCACAGGGTCACTGACAGCCTGTCTGAGTCTGAGCAGGTGGTTTTGATGTACTCAGGATGTGCAGGAACAGGGGAACTAAAATATCACAGGGCATGCAGGCTTGGCCACTGTGTGTGTGCTGGGAACAGGCTGGGTGTGTGGGTGTGGGATGGTGTGTGTGGGTGTGGGATGGTGTGTGTGGGTGTGGGATGGTGTGTGTGGGTGTGAGGTGTGTGGGATGGTGTGTAAAGGGATGGTGTGTAGAGGGTGGTGTAAGGGATGGTGTATGGATGGGGTGGTGTAAAGGATGGTGTGTAAGGGATGGTGTATGGGTGTGATGGGTGTGGGATGGTGTGTGGGATGGTGTGTGGGATGATGTACGGGTGTGATGGGTGTGGGTGGTGTGTAAGGGATGGTGTGTAAGGGATGGTGTGTTTAGGGTGGTGTAAGGGATGGTGTATGGCTGGGGTGGTGTAAAGGATGGTGGGTAGGTGGGGTGGTGCATACAGGACCGTGTGCATGGGACAGTGAGTTCACCATGGTGTCCCCCTGGGCTGCCATCTGCCACTGTCATCAGCAGGAGCTGTGAGTGCTGCTTCCAAGAGCAGGGGGCCTCTTGGTGTTTCCCTTCCTGACCCCAAAGCGCCGTGGTGGCTCCAGCCAGTTCCCACAGCCACCTCCCCACAGACAGGATTCAGAGAGGAGTCCCATGGTCCCACAGGTCTCACAGACCCTGGCCTTGGTCTTGGCTCCAGAACACTCATCTGCTGGCACTGGAAAAAATAAAATATTTGGGACAAATGAAGGGAAATAGCATAGCTGGAATCCCAGGTCTGCAGAGCCATGACAGGAGCAGAGCAGGTGTAGGGCAGGAGCTGCAGGTGCCCAGGGGAGCCAGGCAGGTGTGAGGTCCGAGGGCATCAGGCACTTTCAAGAGGTGGGTTTGCCAGGGAGCAGCAGCTGACCAGGACAGGAATGTGACTGCTGAGCACCCAGGAGTCTGCAGGGCAGACCAAGACCCAGCTGGACAGGCCATAGGAAAAACATTCCAGGTGGAAAACAGGAGCCAGCCGCCGTTGGGAGATTTCCAAGGTGATCTTCCTTAGCAGCCTGTCCACTCCATCCTCACATCTTGGCAGCACAGGCAGGTCCCAGGGCCGAGCTGACCAGAGCAGATCCCACAGTGGCTGCAGGGCCTGTGAACTCAGCCACAAATTTGTCCCCAAGCCTTGCCCTGCTTGTCTTCTGCAATGTTTGAACTTATCTGCTTCCCAGCACCATAATGCAAACAAAATGTCCGGAAGGAGGCTGGCAACAAAACCCACAGGCAAACACAGAGCTGCAACCTGCTTTGTGTTGTGTTCTTTTTATAAAAACCACCCCAAACCCACCAACTGCTGGCACTCTTCCTGTTGCCCCGTGGCCCTGGGCTGCTGGAGTCACAGTGACAAACAGAGGAGAACACTCAGGTGGTGCCACTGCCCTGCCAGTCCCTGTCCAGCACCGTGAGCAGCTGGAGCCAGGCAGAGGCCAGCGCCAGGGGTTCAGTTCAGAGGTACCTCAGGAAAATAATCATCTCAGGAATCCCAGCACGTCTGTCACTGCCCATCCCCTTGGCCACTGCTGCAGAGGGATTCCCCAAGGCACTGCAGGACAGTAGTGCAGAAGTAACAGGCAGGAGATGGCTGGAATGGGGGTGGCAGCACGGGGGTCCCTCTGAAAGATCACTGTGCGTGGAAGTAGATAGGCTTGACTTTTCCAGACAGGATCTTGGGAACCTGCACAGAGATGATCTCGGCCATCATTTCCGGGTAGTCCACGCTCACCATGTGTGCCTTGATCAGGAGATCAAATGTAAACTGATGCAGGTCCTTGGCAATCTGGGGAAGGAAGAGAGCTGGTTAAACAAGTCCCTGGGCAGTGCTTTCTCTGGGAAGACACACGATAGAGGGAAAGGGAGCCTGGATGAGACTATCCAGTGCTCCCTCCAGCTGCATCTGAACTCCTCCCATGATGGGGAGGATGTCCCAGGGAATGATCACTCTCACCGTGAGAAGTTTCTTTTTTATATTGTTTCTTATGCATTGAGATGGACATTATGTGCATAGATGGACATACCCCTGTCCTCTCTTACCGGATGCACGGAGTCCAGGACCTTGGTGAGCTGGTAAAACCTCCTGGAGCACGAGGTGGGGTTCTTCCTCTTGCAGGCAATGATACGGTCGAGTTCCTTAATGTAATTCATGCGGAGCTCATCGAAGAGCTTCTGGTTCTTCAGGCCATCCACTGGAACTGGGTGGGATGGGAAGGAAACAGTGAGAGGAACCCAGAGAGTGACAACAACAAGAGAGCAGGAGGAAGGGTGAAGCAGGGACATCCCCAGCTTCCTCCTGGAAAGTGAAAGTCCAGGCACAGGGAAAGCACCAGATGCCTCAAGGGCAATGCAGCAGCGGGTGCTGGAGCTCTGTGGAGGGCGGGGTGTGGATACTTACTAATACTGAAGAAGAGGAGAGCCTTCATACAGAGGAACTCCTGGGGTGTGATCTGAAGCCACCCAAATTCCTGGGAGAGGTGCCGCATCCTGATGCACTGGCTGTACATCCTGGATTTGTGCATGCGGTACCTGGCAGGGTGAGACGGGCACAGATGGCACGGAGCCCAGAGTGCCCGTGTGTGACAAGGAGGGCACTCCCTGACCCAGCAAACCCCTCCTGCCAAGAGCTCTGTCCCAGGGATGCCACATGCAGGACGGGAGCATTTTCCAAAATGTCTGTGTGTGATCCCCACTGGACACAGATGGCTACAAGTGACTTGCAGCATTTGTCTGAAGAGTGACTGCAATGATTTCCCAAACATTTCTGTCTGTGAGGGATATGAGGCCGACTTGGAGCTCTCAGGTGGGGGTTTGCTTGCTGTTGTGCTTGGTTATTGGGTTCAGGCTCGTCTATCTGAATGCCAGCAAACCCTCCCCAGCTCTAAGCTGATGGGACATCAAGGAGAGCCCACCAGGACCTCACAGTACATTTTGTCTCTATCTCTGCTCACCCCAGCTGCCCAACAGAGCTGGAAACTGGAATTCAAACCCTGTGGCAGAAAGGCAGAAATGGAGCAGCCCTCACCCCTACCAGGTTCTGCTGCTGCCCCGGTGGGTGTCAGCACCACAGCAAGGCTGAGGGAGCAGGCAGAAGGACCCAGAGAGGCACCACAGAGCCCTCACTGCTCCTGGAGGTCACCACGGGTGGTGGCAGTGGGGAGCAGGCTGGGCATGGCCAGGCTGGGCTGGGCTCAGTGTAAGTGCTCAAAGTGTAATTTGTCACCTGGGCTGACCTAAAGCTCAGCTTTAGGCTGTTGTTGTTTAGCACTTACTCATTGAAGACCAGATCTGGAGCGAAGTAAAGCATCCTGGAATTGACGTTGGTGAAGGATCTCCACCCCATAGCAAACACCATCAGGCCCATCCAAGAGTACTGGATTATTGACATCTGGTCATCCACGTGCAGGTTGCGAAATCCTAATAAACAATGAGGGAGGCATGTTATGAATCACTGTTGGGTTCCTGCAGTTTCCAGGGCTGTGTCCATGCAGACTCCAGCTCTCCTGCAGCACTTTTCTTAGGACAAGGTGGTCAGTCCACAGCCCAAGCTCAGCATGTCTCAGGACATGAATTATGACATGGAGCTCTCACCTTGACTGGAAATCAAGGATAGATAAGCACAAACCTGCCCCTGGAAGGGAAGAAATGCGACTTTGGACACAAGGAGAGGAGAAAGTCCCATTAGGACTTCACCAAATTTAGGTAACTGGATTTTAATGTGATGCTCAGAGCCAGCAGGCAGCCCTGCCATGGGTACAGGTGCTCTGGTTTCTGTCCTATTCACACTGCATTGACCTAGTAACTGTGGGAATGAGCATGGAAACCTCAGCTTCATTGCAAGGGAAACAAAAATAGCAACTAAATTCAAATTACCAGTCCCAGATGGCAGCCCAGAGTTAAACCCAGGCATGCTTACACCACCTCCAATGCTGTTTTTTTCAGCATACTTGTAAACAGGCAAATTTAATTGAGTTTCAAGGCAATCATTCATTATTTCAATCAAATATTAAAACAACTTAACAGCTCCAGAGTATAATTACAACCCATTGAGGGAAGGATCTCTGTGGCTTGGAGAGCTCTTCAAGGCAAACAAGCTGGAGAATGAACTTTCCCCAGATGCCACCCTGGCACAGTCGGTGCTGGCCCTGGGGGGAGCAGGGCAGCAGCTGACCCCACTACACACTGAGGGGTCGGGCATCAGGTGCAGTCCAGGAGAGTAAAACCCCGTGATAAGGGGGTGGTTATGATAGAAAACGTTTTCCAAAGAATTCTCCCTTTCCATCAGCACTACTACAGTGGTAGAGCCTCAGTCCTGGATGCCAAGTATTTGATGGTGTCTCTGTGTCTGATCTTGATGTCTGGTGTAGATAAGCCAAAGGGGAAGCAGGATTTCTCCCTGGTTTTACAAGCCAAGTGACTCAAGAATGGCAGAAACAGAATGGGCTACTCCTTATTTTAGGGTATTCAGACCAATATCCCATTGGGAGCACCAGTCTAGGGGGCTGCTAAACTCCTGGGGACATCAGACACCTGACCACAGCTCATCACCAGGATTTGGCAGAGTGGCAAACTTACTGTGCCTCAGTCTCCTCCTCTGGCTCTATCACCCCACACATACAAGGAGTGGGGTCCCTCTTTTCTATGGTGTCCCCTGAGGAGTGGGGCCAGAATGGAGGAGGTGGCAGGAGCTGGCCCCATGCCCCAGTCTCGGGGATGCTGGGAGGTGAGCTGGCTCCTGCTGTGCCCAGACTGAGCTCAGCCCTCTACAATCCCACTCAGTTCCAGGATTACAGCGTGGAACAGGCAGCATGTCACCAACCTTGCAGTGCCAGCTCAATAAATACATCAGTCACCAGGACACTCCACTTACTGCACCTGCTGACCAGCATCTGGAAAATTCCTGACCTGTACTACCTCTCTGAAGGCATCATAAATATATCCCACCAGGCTATCACATGGGCAACCTGAGAAGAAGAGCCCTTTGGGATTCTGCATTGCTCTTCTGCCATGTTGCAATTTACCCTTTTCATCACTTAGGTGGGTCCTGGGACAGGGCTAGTCCTTGTTCTAGAGGGCACTTCTGCAGGGCTGGCAGACACAGCCTGGAAGTGGAGCAAAACCTCCATGGAGAGAGGGGGAGAAGAGCAGGACCCTGAACCCGGACCAGCTGCAGCCCTGCCATGGGGGGAAGTGCCCTGTGCCCACATGGTATCATTGGCCAGGGGCTAAAGGAACCCAGAGTATGAATTCCAGCACATTCCATCACCCCTCAGTTCCCTCTCCCATCATCAGCCCCTCTAGGGACAAGTCCCACGCTGCTCCAGGCTGCTTCCCAGGCAGGGGACACACACACTGCCATGGAGACAGCCCCCCAGGAGCTGTGTGATGGACCAGGAGCTTCAGACCACCCCCTTTGCACCTGCCCCCAGCACTGCAGAAGGGCTTTGAAACTGGGAGGGGATTTGTTTGCTTTCCTTCTCACCTGGCAGGGCCTTTGCCCATTTGACCACGTAGACCAGCTGCCTCTCCCCGAGCTCGTTCAGGCTGCTCAGCAGGTTGGAGAAGGAGTCAGGCTGGCTGTTGTCATGGCCAGCACACACCACACCAGGCTCAATGGCCTCCAGGACGTTGAGGAAGATGGGCTGGCACTCGTAGCCATCAATACGTGTCATCACCAGCTTGGGAGCTTGCTCCTCCGTGGGGCTGGATGAGCTGGCTCCCTCCAGCTCGTCCTGTGCCTTCAGGTTACCCAGCTTCTTCAGCTTGCGGGCTGTGGGAAACAGAGTTTAGTGGGATACTTTAAAATCTATTTAAAAATAGTCAGGGCTTCTTAGCTCCATCATTTCTAGCTATGAGGAAAGGAAAAGTGATGAGCAGCAGCAGCTCCTCCCTCAGTGGGCACTGCCCAAGGAGTGCCCTGGCATTGCAGTTCTCACCTAAGGACAAGAGGAGAACACACTGCGTGACAAAATCCAATCCATTGCTAATCTGACATGGAAAAGAACCAACATCATTTACATCCTCAGCCATCACCAGTCTCTAACTCCCACTTAGAGAGGAAGATCCAGGGAAGAGAGAGAAGAGGTTGTGACTCAACTCAAACTACTGCTCATATGCAATCAAAAAGAGGAGTTTATCAATATAAGATTATAAACTTAATACACAATCATGTTCCAGGGAGAAAAATCACTGCACTTGGATGCCCGAGTGAGATTGTTCTATCCCAGACCAGGGTAGAATTCAGGATGCATCTGAAATAAAAGCCTTCTCCCTGCAATGCCTGCTGCCCCACAGCCAGGCTCTGCTAAACACACTGCACACATATTACAGAAAACACACATATTACAGAAAACACACATATTACAGAAATTTCAGCAGCTAGCAGGTGGTTCCAGGGCTGTTTCCCTGGCGTCTGCCAGCCACTCCACCGAGGGGGAGCAGACCCAAGCTGGGTCTGTGCAGCCTCACCATCCTCATCAGCAGTGCAGGCAGGCTGCAAGGGCACCAAAGCAGCTGCTGACTCTGTGGCCAACATAAAAAGGTGTTTTTCCCACACACAGCTGCTGCTCTGTCTGCAAGGCACACCAGCACTCCTGAGGTGTGATACCAGAGGTCTTGGAGAGTCCCTGCTCCCCTCATTGATACCAGTATGACATTGCTCAGCACAGGTGGCCTGCTACTGCCACCCCTCACCAAATCCAAACCCCAACTAATTAGAGAACAAAACCCCATGGCTTCCTTCAGCAGGGAATACAACATCAAACCGCTTGTCCTTGGGGTTTTGTCTCCTTCATTATATGGTACTTATCTCGAATTTCCTTTCAGCTGTAATTAGAAAAATAAGCAGCAAAACATAAAAACGTCAAGTCAAAGTGCAGCTCAGTAAATTAACTCCAAACGTTGATTTTAAGCGCTGTACTCTGTATGATCTGCTGCACGGGCAGTGAAGACAAGCTTCATCATAAAAAGGGAGGAGAAAGGATTAATAAAAATAAATGAGAGAGAGAGGAAAACAGTGCTGCAGCACAGTGTGATGGCCATCAGTTTGATACAGCCTCCTCTCCCTGGCCTCCAAAGTCACAGCTCTGCCAAGGCCACCACTAACCCACATCCCCAAGTGCCACATCCTCACATCTGTTAAATCCCCCCAGGGATGGTGACTCCACCACTGCCTTGGGCAGCCTGTGACAGAGTTTGCATTTAGAAATAACCAGTGCCTCAGGTCGTGTGTGTGAGTGGAGCCAAACATGTATAAGACACACACATGGTTTGGTTTAAATGTTTCGGGTTTTTTTCCTTAATATTTAATTATCTAGTATGAAAAGATCCTGACTGAGGTGAGAAGACAGTGAGTACCTACTGAGCTGGCTCTGAGATTGCAGCCACAAACCAGACTCCTCTGTGACAGTGGGTGATAACTGCACTATCACACGGGCCTTGGGTTTGTGCATGCCAGGAGCAGCTGTCCCACAGGTCACTGAAATACTTCTGAATACACTGAAACCTACTGGCTTCTACTCAGTCACCTGTGCCAAACGCCTTTGTGCTGGTGGCTCCTACTCAGCAGGTAATATAAACAAAAATTTAAAAATTGGAATTAAAGACATCCGTAATGTTTTTACTCTAGGATGAGCTAGGCTGGGCAGAATCTACATTACACTTCAAGGTGGGAGGAACCTTAGGACATGTTCCCAATATTGGGATGTTCCCAATATTGTCCCTGTCAGCAGGGACAAGGGGCCCAGGGAGCCTCGAGGTACAGCTGCAGCACAGCACTGCCCCAAGCCCTGCAAGCTGGGGAACTACTGGATGGATTTGGAAAAAAGCTTAAAGGACACAATTATAGATCATAATAAAACGTTCACCGGTGCAAGAAGCCCCGGGAGCACACTCAGAGTGATGTCCAAAGTGATGCACATTTTAAGCACCTCCCTTACAGGCACTTCTAAAGCTCTGAGGAAGGAGCACTCTGGGCTCCAGCAGCAATTTTCATGATGCCAGGACTCAGGGAAGTTATGGAGACCTGGAAAAAGCTGCTCTTGCACTGGCTATGATGGAGAGATCCTGCAGCCCCTGGCAGCACACATCAACTCAGCTGCCAGCAGGACACTGAGGAGCTGAACAGGACTTGATTTATATCCTGATGCCCTTTGCACTTTTTATGAACTTCACACAAGGCTTGTCAAAACCTGAACCTGTCAAGCTATCAATCTTGTCTGGCACAACAATTTCAGTTGATAATAATAACATTACCAGTTGTAGGAGACACATTTAAGAGATCTGAGTCAATCAGGGACACATGAATGAAAAGTACTTGAAGGATGTAATCTTAGACAGTACTGCTGAATGATGGCAAAGCCTCTAGTGCTACATCTCAAAGGCAATTTGAACGGTTGAAACAACATCAGACAGGTTTGTTTCTTACAAGGGTGGCTCATTGCTGCACTCATGCCAAAACCAGACTTAACCATTTTTACTCAACCAGCCCATATGGCAATGTATGGATGGGAAAATAGGGATGAGCATTGTGATAATTGATAAAAGATTCGTGTTAATCACAAAAGCATTGGGGTTTGTATAAACCAGAATACTAAGCTCTGAAGCGAAGCATGGGCACTAGATAATGGAAATTACATGATAAAATCATTCTGTTTAAAATCACCTTGTTATGTTATATTATGTTGTATTATGTTACATTATAATATGTTCTGTTATGTTTTCCAAATCAGTTGTATCAGCTACCAGCTTGCAAAATCAGACTTCCCAAAAAGTCCTTCCTGCCTTTGTGTAATCAGTACTGGCTATCCCAAAAACCAGACTCCCTGAACTTCCCTGGTGGTTATCTACAAGGACCAGATGGCAATCTGTGACTGATTATCACCCAAAGGCTTTGTGTATAGGATGTTTATTCAACCACAACTGCTTATGACAACAAAAATCAAAAAAATTATTGATTACAACGAGAACCCACAGTATAAGAAGAGGCTGCAAACCAAGGTTGGGTGGAGCGTGGAGTGGGCGGTGACCCCTCACGTTCCCCAGCGCTGCTTGCTCTTTCTATATCAAATAAAACAATCTAAGTTTGGCTGAATATCGACACTTCTGTCTCTCATTTATAACAGCATTAAGGATGATCACTGAACACATGGACTGAGGTCAGCAGACAAGGGCTGATAGTGTTGGCAAACTGCAGAAGCCATGAAGACACTAAAGATTCGACAATATGCCTTGGAGCAAGGAGCAAGGAATGTCACTAGGGTGGCTGTGTAGGAGGCAAAAGGGTTATTGAGTCACAGGTGACAAATACCCATCGTGGGGACAGAAAATCAATAAAATTAGGGGTTTTAATCAAGCAAACCAAGTTGTAATAAAGATCCAATTGCTGTAAGTAAAGGATAGACAAGATGAAAAATCAAGTACATCCAACACAGCACTCATTGTAACTAATGCAATAGCTCTGGAAAAATTGTGTCAGATTCCCTCTGGCTGGAAATGCTCACATCAATACCCACTGTGTTGGTGAGACATGAGCTCTGCTCTGCCCCAGCAGCTGAACCTGAATTAGGACTAAACACAGCTATGCCTCAAGCTTGGGCTTTCACAGGCTTTGGGCTGTTACTGCAGGAGATTTGTAGCTCTACCATAAACAACAATGAAAGGAGTTACACGTGTTTTGAGTTTTTGCTCCAACCAGGACCCACATGGTTGCAGCTCGAGTGGCTGCCAGCTTTAACTGTGGGCACAGGAGCCTGGAGTTCCCCACAGGAAGAGCCCCTGGCACCTCACATGCTCCCTGGGCTCAGGGCTGGCAGAATCCCCACATCTGTGTCCATACCAGGACATTTCCTGGGATCAGAACTGGCAGGATTTGCACATCTGTGTCCATACCAGGACATTTCCTGGGCTCAGGGCTGGCAGAATCCCTGCAACTTCTTCCCCAGCAGCAGGCAGAGATGCAGTGGGATTGTGGGCACAGGCCAGCACACCAGCAGGACCCAACACATTATAACAGCATTATCACCGTTTTTTTGTTCTTTTTTGTTGTTTTTTTCTTTTCCCTCTCTAGAGTGTCTTTTTCCTCTCCACAGAGAGAAGATCCTGGTTAGTGGATACCAGCTTGCAGGTCACTGTGATCTCAATCAATAATGAAGTGCTTCAACACATTGCCATCCTGTTCCAGAGCAGAGCCTGCAGAAGGCACGCAGTGTGTCAGCTCCCCTCCTCCTCCTCCTCCTCCTCCTCTTCCTCCTCCTCCTCCTCCCCCAGGAGAGCTGCAGGGCTTCTGGGATGTTCCCCATCAGTGACTGTAATTAACCACCAGTTAAAAACCACGAGCTGGAGCTTGGGAGTGATTTCAAATGCCCTGCCTCCACTGTGGGAAAGGTTACTGTGGGCAACCACCAGCTTGCCTGTTTAACAATTGCCTTTACACCAATCCAAACCAAATGTAAAATAGACCAGGCAGAACAGGTCAGGGTGACCCAAAGAGATGAAGAAAAAAGAAGGGAGCGGGATATCCGTATTAGCATTAATTTTGTCAGTGTGTCCTGCAGAAGAGGGTTACACTGATGTATGTCTTCTCCTGCTTGAGGAAACTTCACCAGAAAAAAGCACTCAAAAGTAAGCTAAGAAAAGGGAGATAGGACTGCACTGCCTTTTGGGATCTTTGGGGGGAAATTAAACGAAACCCTCTGCTCCTTGGTGAGCCACAAACCAGAGTCACTTCAGTAACAAGTCCTTCAGGACAGTGTTGTTGCAGCCCAGCAGCTCTGGAGGCTCGGCCCATCCCAGGATTGGGGCCAGATTTAACCCAAAATGCTGACACACCCAACCAGCCTGGGCTGCCTCTGTCCCCCTGTGGTGTGCCTGGCACTGCCAGGGCTCCTCTCTGCAAAGCTCCCTCAATCCAGGGCTTCCAGCAGGGGCAGCTCTGCCAACCCCCTCTTCCAGGGCATTTTCCTCCTCACTGTAACATCACAGGGTCATTTGGGTCGAAAGGGACCTTAAAGATCACCCAGTTCCACCCCCTGACACGGGCAGGGACACCTTCCACTGTCCCAGGTTGCTCCAAGCCCTGTCCAACCTGGTCTGGGACACTTCCAGGGATGGGGCAGCCACAGCTCCTCTGGGTACCCTGTGCCAGGGCTTCACCACACAGGGAAGGATTTCATCAAATGAACTCAACAAGAAGACACTCAGTGATAAACATTAGCTTATAGACTATGAGCAGAAAACCTCAGATTTTGGATATCAGCACCCTGTCGGTTTTGGTAGGGCTACAGGTTTGGGAATGGAGACAAATTTTAACAAGGACCCTCACCAGGGACACAGGAGCAGCTTCCATCCAGCAAAGGAAAACACTGAGGTTGTAATTTCACCAAGAAATTTCCCCTTCCTGCCTTGGAATAATCCCATCAAAAGAGGAGAGTGCTCTGCTCTGAGGCTCCAGGAGCCAGAATCAACTCACCCTGCTGTTTATATATTTTTTTAGATTCACAAGGTTTGAAATCAGGTAAAAATGCATTTCCTGAAACACAAACAAAAAGCTATAGAAATTCAAAGCTTTGGTATTAGAACCCTACAAACGTTTCCTGAGTGTTTTATCAGCCTCATTTTCCAGCCTGTTCATACACAAGTGACATGCAGGGACCCAGGAGGGGACCCAGCCGTACCTCCAAGAGTCATCCCAGCCTCGTAGCACTTGCGCAGGCGGCAGGAGGGACAGTTTTTCCTTCGGAATTTGTCGATGGTGCAGTCATTCCTGCTGGCACACAGGTACTTCTGTTTACCTAAAACACCAGAGAAACACAACGTGGGTGCTGGGTACCAACAGAGACACAGGCTGGGCTCTTTTGGGATCACCAAGAGCAGCCTGGAGTGCTGGGAAGGATAAGGATTTGACAGGAAGGTCTCATAGATATGTATGCATAACAGAAAGATTTTTGAATGTAGAATTTGAAGAAGGAATAGAAATTATAGTAAGTTTTGATATAGAAGAATTGTTGAGCCAGTTTTACTGGATAACTAGAAGGTAAAGAGCAAGTGAGTTGGAAAGGGTTTTTATAACTCAGAGCAAAGGATAAATTCACTTCAAACAAAAAATGTTTTTACTAAGCAAAAAGATTTTTATAGGCAAACAAAAATGCCATGTTGCAAGTAGAAAGAAAGATCTCAAAGAATTTCCACTGCCAGAAAACTAAAAAAGAACTTCTAGCTTAAACTGTAACATAACATTTTGCGATTAGATAATAATAACATAAATATGGTATTGTAAGTAATTATAACAAGCTATAAGTAAAAGTATTGATTAGTTGTCATGTTTTAAGATGCTCTGCAATAAAAAATATACAATGCATTGTAACCAAAACTAGAGTTAGCTTCAAATGAGCCTACAGCTGAGACAATAGGCTGTGGGCTTGGGCTCTTGTTACTCACCATCCATAAATTGCTCTATCATCTAGATACAATAAACAGCATTTTAAAGAACCTCCTAAAGCCCCACTGGAGAGTTTGGTTCTTATTTTCTAAATGCCATCCATCTATTGCATGGCTTTTGCTGGTTTTCTCCCAGACCACCACAGTTTGATCCTTCTGCCACACTACTCAGCTATCAGTCCCCTTATAACCATGATGCTGTACAGATCTTTTTGGGACTGAATTATTTTTTGTGCAAGCCATTAATAGCGGTCAGGTCCGTGGTCTCCAGGTTAGAGAAGTGGGGTTGGGGAGCTGCTGCTCCACAGGTGAGTCTGATGCCACCCTGACCCCTGGGATGTATCTGCAGCCAGCCAGGAGGGAACTGGGACCAGCAACTCCCTGCACAGGGGAACTTGTGCAGCTGTGGGTTTTGGCGAGGTGCAGGAAATTCAGGAAGTTCCTGATGGTCAGAGTCACCCATACCTCAGACTCAGCCTGCACTCGCTCAGAGAGCAGCCTGGGCAGCTCCAGGCCACAGCTTCTTTTCACTGCCTCGTTTGCCAGACAAGCCGAGAATCATCACTTTTTCATGTCAAGTTAGAACTCATTTACAGGATCAGGAGTTATCTGATGTTCTTCAGGCTGTTCCAAACCAAACTGGACTCAGCACACAGCAGAGAGGAGCAGCTTATGGACCACATGGGAAACCAGCCCATGGCCTTTCTTTATCATCCTGCAAGGGGTTACTTTCTGCATTCCTACAGCAAGAGCCCTTTGGAGTCACAGAAATCTATGAACAGGATGAACTCAATCCAACCCCTTCATGTACCAGATTTGACATGAGATGCACCAATTTTGGTGCACAGATTTTACAACCCCCACTACTCCTCCACCATTGCTGCCCTTGCTGCCACTGCCCGAGGTTTCACAGTGCCCTCCTGGTCCCCCTACTTGTGCCTGGCCATGGTTTTGGCAGGACCAGCTGTCACTGTCACCCTCAAGAGTCCTCCCTGGCAGGGCTCAGCACCCTGCCCACTCCTCTCACAGCACCCAGGGGCTGCACAAACACCCCATGTTTGACCTTAGCAGAAATGTCCTCTTCAAAGGGATCACCACCCACTCCTGTACCTCAGCCATCACCTGCACTACCCACCACACCTCACACCTGTTAAATCATTTTAACACTGTCCCCAGAACAGCTCTTCTCACCCTCTCCCTGGCTCATTTCCCATGAGAAGGATACTCAGGCAAGCCTTAATGACACCTAAATCCCTAAGAACCCTAAAAGGAGCACAAACACCATCCTCCCTTTCATCAGCTCATTGAGAAGGAGGATGAGTAACAAAGAACTTCAGCTGAAACTGGGTTACTTGGAGTTATTTTTGTGCCAGGGGCACTGAGTGCTGAGGCCACACTCCCTCCACTCAACCTTCTTAGGTATTCACAAACGGGCGCCCTACTTTCTGGGGAATGGAGAGCTGGAAGGAGATTTGGCTGCCTGAGCCCCCCAAGGATGTTCCAGGATCAGGCACAGCTCCTCCAAACTCAGCACCCCACAGCCCCAGTGCCCTCCTCACCCCAGGATGAGGACAGATCCCACCCTGTGGGCTCATCCCTCACTGTGCTCTGTCTCCATCAGGCACCCGAGCAGAGGAGCAGGGATGAGGTTTGGGAGTGGAGCCCAAGCCTTGCTCAGTGAGGCCACTGTGCTGTTTCCCATCTGCTCCTCAGAGCATCCCCAGCTCCAGAACTGCTGAGAAGGGACACGGAGAGGGAGCCTCTCCCAGGAGCTGGGAATGCCCTGGGGGACAAACAGGGCACCTGGAGGAGGCTGCAGGATGGCTGTGCCACCTGGGAACTGCAGCCAGCAGCTCTCCCCACGGTCACGGTACAGTGACATTGCAGAGATGGCCAGGCCAGCTCCGTGGTTCATGGACAGGCTTTTTGGGGCAGGAACCTGCTCTTTGTTGCCTGAGCCTGCACAAGTGAGCCCTGTTTGCTTTATGCTGCTCACCAGTAACAGAAAGAACCGAGCAGCCACAGCTGCTCATGGTGCTGCTGCTGCTGCTGGGGGTGAGAATGAGCCGAGCTCACCTCACACAAATTCCTGGGGATGCAGAGATTTCTCCTTAACCACCAGGACAGGAACCACCAGCTCTAAAAGATGGGAGAACAGGGAAGGGTGGGAACGTGGATGAGTTCCTTCCCTCTGTAGTGACTTCTCACGCAAGGTGAGACATTTGCAATCAGCTATTCTTTATTTAAAGATAAACGTGCTGGTTTTTCCTTCTGTAGATTTTAACACCAAAACCACTTTGTTTTCCTTTTCTCTCCTGCAAACAACAGAGATGTTTTCTCATGTCACTCCAAGGCAGAGGATCTTGCTTTGCAAACCTGTACATACAGGTCCAAACCTTACACCCACTCTCTGGTGTTCCCCAGCAGTCCTGCTCTTTGCAAGGCCCATCACCCAGCCTGTCCTTTCCCCTTCCCACCCACACACCCCTGCCCAGCTGGGGACACTGCAGTTGTGAAGTCACACCCAGCACCCTCTGCTTTCCCAGACCAGCACAGGCACCCCGAGAGCATCTCTGCAGCAGCCCCGCCATGAACACACTGCAGTGCCCGTGTCCCCTCTGCCACCCTGGCCCCTCCTGGGCCACCTCACACCAGGAGAAAGATGCTCCCACCACCTCCAAGCCCTCCCACTCATCTCCTGGGACCACAGCACACAGTGGGAGCCAAGGTAAAGAGCTGCTCTCCAGTTCTTCTTGACTAAAAATAATGATTTATGGAGGTGAGTTGCTCAGTCCAGAGGAATCATCTAACTAACAGCCTGCTTCCACACGAGCTGCTGTGCCCAGACTAACTTTCTCCTCCAGATACCAAAGTAATCCGTGCAAACGTCTGGAGCAAGATATACGACTGGAAATGTGAAAAACCAGCAAATGCCTTTTGGAAAAGAGAGATTCTCATATATCAGGGTATAAACTGAATTTTAACAGCTGGGGGAGAAGGCCAAGCTTTCTGTGAAAGCAACTCCCTTGGGTCTCATGTAACCACTGAGGCTCCAGAGCTCCCCTGGAAAGCCTCTGGTCCTTGGGGCTGTCACGAGCAGGGCCATGCCCAGAGCTGGGCCTGTGGGTTTGGTGCTGACACCCTTCCCATGTGATGCTCCTATTAATAACTTAAGAGGGCTCAGTCACAAGGCTCCTAGGAGCCACATCTGAGCCACTGCTGATGAACTACCTTTGCAAAGTCCTTTTCTGAATAGTCCTCTGTATTTACCAGATGGCTACAGTGAGCATAGGGAAAGCTCTGATCATCCCAACTTTTTCTCTCCCCATGTTTTTTTAAGGCAAATAACACCCAAATAGTCGTGAGAAACCCACCACAGGAGCATCATGGTGCTGCAGCACCACTGAATCTTCTGCAGACTCAATTTCTTCGCGTGTCGGATCAGCCTGGGAAGGAGGAGGAAGCTTATGATAACATGCCAAGCATTCATTTTAACTTGGTGTCATCTTGAAATCTGGAAAGAAGCCGTTGAGTTGGCCCAGAGACATCTTTCTGGTGAAAGGCTAATCCTCAGCAGGTCAGAACATAGAACACTAATCCATATGGATAGTGATGGAGGCACTCAGAGCAGCCTGCACAGCAGCCTGGCTGAGTGCCTGCTAGGAAAATTGCCAAATACTGTGTTATTTTTTTCATTTAGCTCACTGCTATTTAAAGGCAGCCCCATCAGGAACACAGCCCAAAGCATCCCAGTCCTGCGAGGAGGCAGCTCTGGGCTGGCTAAGGTGGCCACCAGACCTCAGAAACCTCAGAGGGACAAAGAAGGTCTGCTTCTCTCCAGGGATATATGCAGAGACACAATGATCCTGCTCCTGGACAGAATGGAACAGCAGAAACCCCTGGGTTGCTAACTGACACAGGAGCTGCCTTGTTTGAAGCATTTTTCTGTTTCGGGGACAAGGTGGCATCACAAGGACTGAACTCCTGTGTCTTCAACCCACCCCAGCCATGCCCACCACGCTCAGGTGTGCTGCCTACTCGTGTAGGGAAAACAACATCTGTGCTGAGCTGGAGGAGCTTTTTGCTCACCAAAGGAGGAGGGGGAGCCCTCCTTTGTGGTCACAGGGCAGCCACCCAGCCCTCTGGACTCTCCCTGCTGGGACCCTGGGGCAGGTGACTGCAAGGGAGAGCACAACGCTGGGCTTGGTGACACAACGAGGGTGGTGACCCTGCAGGTGAGGTGATGCCCACAGTGCTGCAGTGCTGGCCTGGACACAACCTGGGCATCTTGAGAGAGTCTGTGAATCACAAGAGCTGGCAAAGCGAGATCAGGAAAACATTGCTGATTTTCTATTAACTCTTCCAGCATCTTTCTGGAAAAAGAAGTTCAACCTGAACTTGTGAAACCACTCAAATCTGTCAAATATTTCATCAAAGCAGGGGTGACCTGCTCCTCATAAACCCCTCAGTGTGTCCAAAGGGAAGAAGAATCAGTGCCACAACATTTTTTTTTTAATCTTTTCCCTTTCTCACCCCTTAGAAGCCATGTCTATTAAACCTCTTTAAATATCTCTGAATCCCTGCCAGATAAGTTCACTATTATCTCAGAAGAATATAATAAAAAAATAAATTATGTGCCCAGCTATGTCCCTCCCCTCCAAGATGCTGTTTGTGCTGCTCTAGTCACAGCCCCCTGCTGCTGCCTCCACTGAAGGCTGTAGCTTGACACCAGCACCAGGAAGGTAGCAGGTTTCTTTTCTCATGGGGAAGCATTTTGATCTACTGCTGTGAAGTCTCCAAAGGCAACCTAAGGTTTTCTGAGAAGCGTTTTATGGACTTTAAAACATGAGAACACGCTGAAATATCAGCTTTCACTAATGCTCCTCAGCTCTAAGATGGAAGAGTTTCTGCCTGGAAACTCATCAAAACTTAGAACGTAAATCATCACCTGCCATCCCTGCATTCAGTACCTATAAAGGAGCATGATTTATTGTCACTTCCCCAAAATAAAGATTTACCCATGTACTTCAGGGTAGTGTAAGATGAACCCTCCAGTTTGGCAGCACCCCCTGCCCCTCCCTGCACACACATAGGGCTCCTCAGGAAAGGCAAAGGCTGCTGCCCAATCCCAACATGACCAAAAGCTCCCAACCCTCTGCCACGTTGTGAGGCTGAAAAACCAGGAAGATACATAAATGCCATTTAAATTAATGATATAACACAATCAGGAGAGGGAACACATGCCTCAGAGCAGCACGAGCAGCCCAGACTGCCCCTCTGCCCTGGGCACCTCTGGTCCCTGTCACCCACAGCACAGAGCCCACCCAGGTGCCAGGGGAGCACAGCTCCCACACCCACCTGCAGACACAGCATTCATTCCAGCAGCACTTCATCTGACTGAGAGCCAAGACTCCACTTACTATAAATCAACAATAACTTGCTGACTTAAACAAGCATCTGTTATTTACTCTGGCTGCACAAGCCAACCCACTTGGCTTGACACAGAGCTGGTGTGCAGCGGAGACAGATCTGCAAATGATTTACTCGAGAGAAACATGCAAAATTTATTAACTATTATTTGACTGCCCTTTTTGCCCTTTTGGCAGGACTGATGTCCCCTGTGGCATAGCCCCTATTCCTCCCTGAACCAGCACTGGCAAGTTGGCTCTCAGCACAGAGGAATGAGGGAAACATGACTCCAGAAAGAGGCAGGATAATGATAATTGATCTAATTGATATAGAAGCAGCATTCTGACAACAGCAGGTGAGCACACCTAGCCTGGGACCTCTGCTCATATAAAGGAGAGGTTGGGCACAGGGTGAGACAGAAGCTCTGTCCCCATCTCTGCTGCCAGCCCTCTCCTGAGGCCACCACAGCCAGTGACACCAATGCCCACATAAACTGTGTTAGCACCAAGGAAAAATGACGGCTTGTGTTGCTTCATCTCTCCTGACAAGCCTGGTGAGTGACTACAGGCACGTTACATGGCTGGACAGCTCATCTTCCACAACGCAGACTCTCACTGCTGCCCAAGAACCACAGCTCTGAACTGCAGGTACAAACCAGACAGTGCTAAGGAAACAGCTGCATGTTCATTCCCCAGGAAAGATGGTACAAAGACCCTGCTGTTGAGAGGGAACATTTGGGCTCACACTTATCCCTGGAGAGTCTGACACTACGGAGCTGGACATGAAGGAGAAGTTGCTTTCTCATGGGCTGGGGAGAAGGTTCATGGGCCCCCAGGTCAGAGCATGGCTCCTGATGGACAGAAGGCTGTGCTGTTTCGTGGGCAGTCACAGAAGTGACCCTCTGGAAGGGGTGCAGGAGAGGAAAAGTCTCCCCTGAACTGGCAGCTGTGCATCTGAGACCACAGGTGGGCTGGTGGGAGCTTAAAGCACTCAGGAGAGTCAAGAAGAGAAGCAGGAACTGCTTCAGGGTCTCACCAGGTCACCAAGATCATCATGGAACCACAGAAACCTTTGGGTTGGAAGGGACCTTAAAGAACATCTTGGTCCACACCCCTGCCATGGAGGGACACCTTCTTAGAGACAAGGTTGCTCAATGCCACTGAAAAGAATGGTATTTTGGCAAACTGGTTTGGCTACTTTTTAAGAGCAATCTGTAAAATGAAATTATAAATGCAGGAAAGAAAAATCAATTTATCCTTGATTTTTCTCCTTTCCTGGTTTAAAAGATCTTAGAATGCCACCACAGTGGGGCAGTGACCTTCCCTCTCCTCTGTCCCTATTACCTTCAGCTGCCCTTTTGAAGAACACTTTGCAGCTCCCACATGTGAGGGCTCCATAATGACACCCAGATGCTTCATCTCCACAAATCAGACAGGTCTTCTGAGGTGGGAAGTAATAGTCAATGGGCAGGACATGGTCACGGCCACCCTCCAACCTGCAGCACAAAACAGAGAGAACAAGAGAAGGGTCAGCAAACGTGCTCAGGACAAGCTGTGGGGAGCACGGTCCTGGCAAAGCCAGAACTGCAGTGGATCAGGCAAAACACTGAGCAGCAAGAGGATGAGCAACAACTGAGCCAAGCCTGGCCATGCAGAGACTGTGCTGGGTGCCCCTCCTGACTCTGCCCACGGCGTGCAGCGTGTGACAAAGCGTGACAAACTACAGTGGCAGTGACACACAGTGACAGCGCAGCCTAGGGAGAGAAGGTGGCTGAGACTGGCTCTTGCAGTGCTCATGGGATTTTGGCTTCAATAATGAAGCTCACGCACCAAACAAGGCAGAGCACGGCACTGCCAAGCACTTGATGCCACGTTAACCACCACGCCAAGATGTCCCCAGTGCCTGACTCCTCTTCTCCAACGCCTCACCATCCCACACACCCAGATTCTCCCCTCTCAGCTGGTACAGTCCCGTCCCCAACCTGATCCGATCTGTTTTATAAGATCCATGGACAAACTGCTTTTCCAGAGGGCATGGCAGGAGGAGAGGGGCTTATCCAAATCAGGAGCCAACATGTCCAGGCAGTTTGGGAAGCACCAGCACGTTGAGTTAATCACCGGAACTCATTTTTCTGCAACCACTGGATGAGGCAATTAGCTTTTAACAGTCTGCAAGTCACTGCAACTTTGGGGCAAAATCAGACCCCCTTTCATTTTTGGCATTGTTTGTTGCTTGCAGGAGAGCTCTTTACATCAACAGTGAGTGTGACAAAGATGGGACTTCTTGAAAATACCTTTATACCCAGAAAAGCACCACTGTCTTCACCTGTCCCTCACCTGGGAGCTGCGCAGATCCCACTTCAGTTTCAGGTCAGTAACTGGAGCAGCAATTTCATCCCCAATTCTTATGGCAGAAACCTTTTGAGTGATTTCTCATCTCTTTAACAGGAGCCAATAGTGACTGATCTGTAGATGCAGCTCAAACACCCTTCCCCAAACATCTCCATTACCAAAGCTTTTCTTGAATTACTGATTAAATGGAGGAGACACAGTTGGCTGCACCGTGCCTGCCATAGTCAAGTCCTGTTGCAACCACTGTGTTCCCTTCTTGGTTTACACGGCATCCATCCTGTCCTGATGTGATCCCACCACCCATCTCAGGGTACTCCCACATCCCCCATGCCTGCAGAGCCCTGCACTGGGTGAGAGAAATACTAGCAGCACATGGAAAAGCCTGGCTAAAAATGTCTCCTTTATCCAGTGTGTTTTAGATTGACACATAGCAGGCCTTTCTGCTAATGACCCAGCACCTTTTCTCCTCTCTGTGCAGCCAGAAATCCAACAGTGTTCATTTCCCTGTTTCCATAAGGCTCCTGCTCTGTCTCCCCCACACTCAGCACAGCGTGCCATGAGCAGCAGGGCCTCTCACAGCAGGTGTCGTGACAACAGACACAGGACTCCCAGAGGACCCTGGCTTGTTTTTGAGGATTAATTATCTGAAAGTGCAAAGCAAGTTGGCAATTGAGTGGCTTCTGAAACTGCTTTTAAAGAGCTGTTCACGTATGGGAAGAGCTGTGCAAGTACAGAAACACCTTCCAGCAGGTGTGCATCCATCCCATACACGGGTCCCTGCACACCCCCCATGCTCAGCCACCCTTGTCCCCACTGCCACCAATGGACGGAGACTGGAGGACACTGGAAAGTGATTCCTGGCCATAGGACAGGCTCCTCCTGGGGAAAGGCTTGGCAGGGTGTGCACAGCCCCAGCACCCCAAGGGGCAGGACATGGTGTTTAGGCAGGTGAGGAGTGGTTCTACCACAGGCCCTGCAGTACCAATGTGGTTCCCTGCCAGCAGCCACTGCCCAGAGCCAGAGCATCTGCCCAGGAATGCCCTTCACTTTAAAACAATGCCAACTTGCCTTTTCCTTTTTTATTTTTAGAAAGAGAATTGGAAGAAAAACATAATGTAAAAATGTTCTAGCAGCTCAGAGTGAGCTATGCTAATGATTCTCTTAACGATCCATTTTCCAGTTTCCAGGGGACATTTACAGGGTGCTCCAAAAACGTGCAGGTAATACATGACACTGGCCAATGAGCCCAAGAGGTGCCTGGAGAAGGTGTGGGGTTCCACCTGGCCCAAGGTGCCAGTGCACAGCAATGCCACAGGAGGGGCACGAGGGGTGGCTCAGCGGCCAGCTCACCTCCAAAGCTTCCCTCTGGCTGGAAGCTTGCACTCCATGGGGCTGTGCTGGCCCACAGAGCTGCAGGAGAGCTCAGGCCAGACCAATACAAGCTCCCCTGTACGGAACTCACAGCTGGTGCAATGTGTGGCAAGTGTGAGCCCTGCTGCCGAGCCCAGGGCAGGGCGATAGCGAGCCAGGGCAGACACAACTGGGGCGCGCTGACGGCGGCGGCGATGCCAGACGCCCCGAAGGACAAGGTCAGGCTGTCACAGAGGAGCTTGGTGCCTTTTGGGGGCAGGGAAAAACAACTTCTACAGCCCTAGGATGAGTTTTAGTCTCATTTCAGACTGTAAGGAAAAGGAGGGTTTGCTGAGCTCACCTCGCATGCAAATGTTTCCGAGGAGCAGAAACTATCATTTTGCAACGAAGCATTTGTTTGTCATTAGTTAAATATCATCTAATAGCCACATTTCACAACACTCCCAGAAAGCCAAGAGCAAGCACTGGTAAAAGAGGAGCCAGCCACTTCTCCTGATCCACAAAGGAAGTTTCCATCTCACAGGCTGCTGGAAAGGAGCCAGGTCACAACTGCCCCTTTGCCCACCCCTGTGCCAGACCAGGACAAAATGATGGCAGCTGCCACACAGCCCCAGCTCATCCCACACAGGAACCCCAGAGCAGAGCACACTGGTTCCCTGAGGAAGGGGGTTTGCACCTTCACTGTGCTGTGTCCAAAACCTGCACATCTATGATGCTCAGCAGGGTGTTGAGACCAGAATGGAACCAGTACTCACACCTGAATTCAGGTGATACAGAACCCTATCCAGTCATTTCCTGTACTGTCATTTCTGAGACACTCTGATGTTATCAGGCGCAACCTCTGCCTTTAAAACAACATCACCTGTGCATGACATTCTCCAATGCAATATTAAATTTAACTGGCTTCCCCTCAGTGCAGCTGTGGGGTTCCTGCCTGGATGAAGTTCTGTGACTCCCATCAAGGGGCCAGACCCATGCTCAGCAAAGGGCACCACTGCTCACTTTGGGCACATCCTGGTGTCCCCTTGCACTGTCATTTGGCTGCTGCTGGCTCCAGGCAGAGCTGAACCAAGCCTGTGCTTACAGCCACCACATCATGCTCCTCCAGGTAACAAGGACTGTACAGGAACTTTAAAGCATTCATCTGTTAAAATGCTTTGAGCCATTTATTCTATAAACATGCAGCTTTGTACACTGAATTCATGTCCTTTCTGCTAAATAGCCTTGAGTACATTTCCAGTCTGCCCATGAGTTGTTTTTGTGTGTAATGGCAGCAGAGACACAATAGCATCTGAGAGCAGAGCAGCATGAGCCCCAGGCCTGGTAAACACACATAGGAACTGGATCCTCACTGGATTTAAATATTAGCAGATGACAATGGGTTTTCCAAGCATCCCAGCAGTGCAGGCTGGCAGAGGGAGCACACCTCAGAGCAAGAAAACATCCTCCCACCAGCAACTCACAGGAGCAGGCTTGGTTCTCCAGCCCTGGCATTGCCTCCTGGCCCCAGGGGCACAAATAGCTTCCACAGGCACAGCTGCATAAATCCCTTCTCACATCTCCAAATTGAGTTCTGGATTTTTTTTGTTTTCCAACACTCTGTTTACTTATTTTGGCTGTTTATTTTTCACACAGTATGTCACCACTGCAGCCCAACCCCAGCCCTTGGCTCTTTTCTCTCCTGTGCTCCTCTGAAGAGCATGAAGGTTGCTCCATGGACCCAGCCACTGTTTGTCCCTGCCCTCAGGAGACAGCCCCAACCTGACCAGCTGAGGCACTGCACACCTGTAAATGGGCAGCAGAGTCACACCATAACCCCCTCATTTAATGGCCATCCTGGGCTCTCACCTTCCAATCATCCATAAGGAAGAAGCAGAAAATGAGCTTAAAAAGGTGAAAGGTGGCAGGTTTGCTACAAGTGGAATGCAAAGCCACCCTGCAGCTCACTGCTGGCCATAGCAGAGGCTGCTGCCCACATTTGGTACAACTGACACCAAAATTTCTGCCTCAAAGCCTGAGCCTAAGGGAACAGCTCTGAGCTTAAATAAATCAGCTCAGAGAAGATTGAACAGTTGATCCCCCAGATGGAGTAGGTACCAACCAAAAGAGATGGCACAAGCGTGTTGCAAGGTCACTTCAGATGGGAACTCACCTGATTACAAAGCACAAAGGGGACAAAAAAGCAAGCAAAGAGCAGCAAGGCTGCAGGCAGGCTGCAGCCCTGAGGAGCACTCCCCAGAGTAGAGCCCTACACTGTATCCTGCAGGTGACTACAGAGTCACCTGGAGTCACCAAGGACAGGACCTTGGCATCCTTGCTGCATGGAGAACCCTACTTATTTCCCAAGGAAACACTGTCCTCACTGATATTTATGCAGTTAGTTTAAGCCACACCATAATCTCCCATTTTCAAATCCATCGCCTCTGCTCACAAAGAGAAAATGGACCTGTAAAGAAAATCACAAATAATGAGACACTTAATACATATATTTCACGCTCCAAGAGACACTGCCATGATGCCAGATGCAGATACAGGCTTACAGCTCCCAGGAAAGCATCCAGGATACAGACTTGTGGTGCCACATACCAACATCTTCGCCTGCAGGAGAACTTTTACCTTTCCCTCTTCCAAAATCAAGTGCAGTAATGCTTACAAAATGCTCTGGAAGAGGGGATGCGAGTTCTTGGTGGCTTTTCTCACAGCTGGTGTGCCAGGCAGATCTCCAGAGGAGCAGGACACTGTACCCTAGGGCACAGCACCTCAGGTGAACCAG